CGCCGCACATTATGCAGCAGTCAACACTGCTGACTATTCATCTGCTTGCAACAAGAATTTGTAGGCACAGCTGCCCAACAGCTGTGCCTACATGATCCCAGCAGGGGGGAAAGGCCACGTCAAATTACATCGGCCTCTGTGATAATGACCTACGAGGCTTTTAAAGACATTTTTCACAGTTTCTCTGGGACACTAACTGAGGAATACAAATCTTTTTTCTCTCACATGTAGGGCGATACGCTGTGCTCTCGTGTCATCTGTGCGAGCGCCCGTGTATTTGTTTGGTGTTTTAGTGGCACCCTTGAACAAGCTGTGTAACACTGATGAGGCCCTCTGCAGCAGTCCTTTTCCCCTCCACAGCTCCCTCGACGCTCGTACGGTGTAATGTGCTGCAGGGCGACCCGCCTCTGCCGTGGGGAGGCCCCCGAGGAGCTCATTTGCACTAGGAGTTACTGGTTCAGGAGGGACCGGGTTCCAAGTGCGGCGAAGCAAATTAACGAATAAATGTACGCAAAAAAATATGTACTTATGTTTGTACTTATAATCCCTATTGGGCCACAGAACATGGTGAACAGCCACAACTCGCTAGAAAAGTGTTTCTAGTGTTTCTAATTAAGAAAAATGCCACGGTGTTAAGTATTTTTTCAAAATATCCATTAATTCTTGAGCGCACAAGCCTTTCGATGTGTACTTAAGAAAAACACTGGCATGGCTAAACAAAGAACAAAGGCAGCTCCTTATTGACTCTGCCAGACATAAAGTACACACACACGTACAGTACGAGGCTTCCACTTGATTTGACTCATTTTGATTTTCCGTTTCGGCGAGAGTGTCCCTCTGCACGCCAGCCGACCGCGCACCGGAACCTCCTCCCCATCGGAGGTTGCCGCTCACATTACAGGCCGGGCTCCCACGGGTGCCACTGTGGCTTTCGCCGACCAAACCTACCGGCCTGGGTTTGTCAGCGCGCAGCTCCAGGCTCCATAAAACAGCCCGCTGCTCGCTCCCTTTGCCCAGCTTAATGGTCCCAGGGGCTGGGAATTTACTAGTGACCTTTGCATTCCATTTGGAGAGTAAAAGCCTTTTTGCTAGGAAATTCCATCACTTTAGTGAGCTGCACTTTGTGTGTGAAAGGCAGTGAGACAGAAAAAAAAAGAGGGTGGCGAGAGAAGAACAAGGATTAGATTCAACCTTTACCGCAGTTTGTGGCTGATGTTGCAGATGACATTACTGCGACCCTATTCTGTTTATGAGACACAATTCATTTTCCGTTTCTACATGGTGGCCAGATTGGGACAAAATGGTGGCACTTCCTTACATTTCGAGGTCCAGCATTAGAGCTTTTTTTTTTACCTCCTTGTTGTAATCAAATTTAAGTCACTAGTCACTTTTATTCCATAGTGGAGGAACCAACAACCAGGGAAAAAGAGGGGGACACTTGTTAGGAAATCCAACAGGAAGCCAAGTGAATGTTGTATAAACGCTGGTTAGAAAAGATTAATAAAAGAGTTGTTTGTGTTTTTATTTTAAACTGTAACAAACTCGACATTCAAATTATATTGCTGTGGTTGCAATTGAATTGCTGTTGTCCAATAGCGCCATCTGCAGGATGAGAGCTTCTGATGCGCCTCAAACATTTTCCTCAACAAAGAAAACGGAAAAATGTCTAACTTTGACGGAGGCCATTGATCGGCTTTGGTGTCGTATTTGTTTTTATTTTCCACCCAGTGCATAAAAGGCCTCCTGATATTTGGAATGGTCCTGATGTGGCGCCACAGTTTGGACTTGTGTATTTCATTTTCCAAACAATTAACATTAATCAGCTATTTTGACCTTTGCTTTGGATTTGCCTGTCAATTTTTCTCCCTGCAGAAATTCCTTTCACATTTTAAAACAAGTCAACTGACAGCGATTTAAATAGTGGAAATGTTTATTAAAAGAGTGCTACTGTACACATTTGTAAAATTTAATTGGAAAAAAAAATGGTTTAGTTTTAAAAACAATCTCATCCCGAAAGACAGAGGACAGAGCTCAGGGGGGATGAAAGGACAAAATACTTCAAATGAGAGAAAGTTACACCCAAATCATCATCAGTGATATTGAGGGGTATCAATGTTTGTATGAAAGGATGGGTCAAAGCTTTTAACAATGTGGATTAAACACTAAAATGTTGTTCCAAAGACACTTTAGAGCCCAGAAAATCACCTTTCAACAATGATCTGGTCATGATCAGAAGTTTGGACCTCCGATATCCGACAGCCACAAAGTCCATCTACTTTGATGCTTACGGCAAAGAATAAATCAAATAACTCATCACAAGCAAAGGCAGAATATGCATTGACCAATTAGAAACTGGTTTTAATGTTTCAAATTAACAATACAAAAAGATAAACAACAAAATACTGTAATTGCATGAGATTTCTTTTTACCGTTTAACTGTTAAAAAAAAAACCCAACTTTAAATAAAAGTCAAAGTATCACTTACTAACAACATCCATTACATCATTTAAAACCGCGGGTTTGTCTTCAGACAGATCAGTCACTTGGTCAAAAAGATATTCACCATGTAGCCACAAGGTGGCAGCCCCCCGTCCCCCGTCTCCCCCCCTCCCCCGATGGCGGGGGACTGATGCTGGTCTCACTTCATGTGGAGACAGTGAGTCTGACCTGTGAAGATGAGACTGGTGCAAAGATAACAAAGGAGAAATATTAAACTAAACGAAAAACGTTTAGGAGTGAGCAAAAATTTAATTTTTCGTTTCTTGATCTAGTGATAGGGTAACGAAATATAAAAAACACCACACCACGTTTACATGTTAAAAATGTTGAAATAACAGATACAAATGACGATTTCTTTAAAAAAAAATGAACACTGATATCCTTCAAAAATTATGACTTAATTGGCCGGTGGCTTCCGCAACTTTGCAAATTTTGTAGTTATGTACCAGTGTACCAAACTGAAAGTTCTAGAGGTACGGTTTTTCAAAAAGGAAGTGATATGCAGTCAGGAGAGCGCCGCGGTGGCTTCTTCCTGAATCTTTAATACTACAGTTTTATCCTCAAAAAAAGGTGTTGGGAGGGTTCAAGCAAAAAGATGCACCGACTATACAGACAAAATGATCCGGGCCGCGAAATACGCTCGGCTGACAAAGAATTCCCAGTTTCAACAGATGGCCACATGTGCTTGAGGACGCAACATTCCAACGCCGCATTCCTTCAGCACGAAAACATGACGTGTAAAAGACATTGAAGAAAAAAAAAGGACGAATGAAGGTGAAGAATACAAAAGACAGAACAGCAGAGCCCCAGTAGCACGTCACCCACGTCCGCTGCAGCTTCCCCTCCTGTCCGATGGATCCTGCTCAGCAGTCTGGGGCCGTTGTGCTCCAATGAGAGGGTGCGGGTGGAGGGAGATGGGGGGGGCAGATAGATGGCGATAACGCGGCCGTGTTCACCGTCTTTGTTGTGACGCGGTGACGACGAGCAAAGACGGGAGGTTCGGTTGTGAAGAATGTCTGACTCAAGGCTGTCCCTGCGGTGGAGGGGGAGGGCGCGCGTTCTTCTTCCTCCCGGGGGGGGGGGGGGGGGGGGCGCCCTCATGGTTTGGCCGCCGTCTTTTCTCTCTTGGGCGGGTCTCTGGCCCAGTAGAAACCTCCTTTAAAAGGGGATGACCATATGGGGGGACTATTAATTGGGCCCTTTGGGAGAACAAAATGGCTCATTTCAATCTTTTCTGGAGAAGTGTGAGGAAGAAGGGCGACTTTTAAAAAGGTGCTCGCTTGAGGGTCTCTTTGTGTTTCTGGCGCGGGCATATTCTTTTTTGAACTTTCTTTACAGGCACATTTTTTTGAGAAGGCAACTGGTTTCAATTTGTGCCCTAAAACTCCTGAAACAAACAATACAGGGAAGATATTATTTTTTTGGAAACAAAATGTCCGAGTAATGGAATTGCCACCCCCACAAATTGTGGCGGCAATTGGTCAAAAACCCAAGGGGTGTCAAACCCATAAACAGGGAATGTAGGCAGATGGAGCTTGTGAATCCGTTTACGATTTACTTTCCCGTTTATATTCCTAGAGATTTTTTACACATTCATTAAAAAAAAAAAAAAAAGATAATGACCAAATGAGCTACGGTGCAACTTCTGCCTCGACACCGAGCACGCTGCCCTGTCGGGTGTGAGTGACGAGGTGCCGCACAAGTATCCATCTAGCTAATATGTAATGACATTACAGTTTATGGAGTGGCTTTCTGTTTGTATACCAGTGGACAGAGAGGCTATTAGGGCTGCTAATGGGTAGTTTGTCAGTGGCAATCTGGCACATTCAGAGCTGCCGTTTAAACGGATCGTGCCACGACAGGTCACCGGCAGCAGTACAGATAGAAACATCAGCCGCCATGACACACCAGCCGCATGCCAGTTTATCAGAGCAAATATGAACATGACACGGACCGGATTAAGTGGAAAGACTAAGGCAAAGTACTTATGAGCTATCTATATAATACAATCAATCTTGAGGTGAAAACAACCACAGAGATTCTCACAAATTAAAACTTCCTCATCCAGAAAACTATACTAGCCACCTGAAGCAACTTGCTTTCATCTAATCATCGGTGTGGTTTTTCAAAAACATGCAGTAGCATGTTCAGAACCCCCCACACGCAAGTCACAAATATCTTGTACATGACACGGTAATTGCTGCTGCAGAATACTATGAAAGTGAGTCTATATCGGTTACAACGCTGAAGGAAACGTCGTTGCTCATCTACTCGAACACAAACATTGAGAAAAGAGCAGCGTGTCCGAGTACAGATAAGCCTCAGAACCACAGATCTTTAATAATGCTCGCTTGAAAAATATGTCTTCTTTTTTTTGTGCCAACTGGAAAGCGTACCAGTTACCTAGGTACCGCCCTTGATTTAATGTCAAATACCACGTCAACATCAGACTATGTTTCCAAAACACATGCAAATACTAGAGAGGAACTTGTAAAGCACACCTACCACTTCATAAGAAACATTAGGTCTCCACATGAGTCAGTTGCTCCGATGATCTTCTCCGGCTCCAGTCCTCTCTCAAAGCCACGTGCAACTAGAATGTCGTCCTGCAGGACAATAAAAACAGAGTGTGTTTTCATAGGAAACAAACAAATACCGGAGTTTGTAACAGTCATTTCAGAGTCAAGTGCACAACGGCCTGGAACACAAACGGGGGCGAGCCGCTCTCCAAACGCCGCCGTGGACCTTTAGCTCGGCGTCGGTGCTGCTGGAGATCCGCGTGTGACCCGAGCGCTGCAGCGGACCCACGTGCATCCGCGCAAACGTGTTCAGGCAAAACATCCCCACTGTGAATGACTTCAGCGAGTAAAATGATGTCAAAATAGTGATCTGTATCTGCAATTAGGATCAATAATAACTGATCAGGGTTAGATTTGCTCTCCTTTTCCCTTTGTTGCCGATCCAATCTGGGAGTTTTAGGATCCGTGGCAGCAGTAGTGGACGTATACTTCCCAAAACAAAAAGACGAACCCAGTATTTAGAGACTAAATGCCGACGGCGTTTTGGTTCGGTAACGATTGACGATCATTTTTGCTTTTCTGGACTAAAACAAAACAATATTGAGAGCAAAAGGCGGTTAAAGCGGTCTGGGGACATCGAGTAAGATGTCGTTCTGTTGTCTCTGGTGAGAGACTTTATTGACGGGCCGGGAATGTAGCGACAGCTCGGTATGAGGCAACTTTACATTTGCAATGGATCTATAAATAAATAAAAAAGAGGCAAAAAACGAGAAACCCCTTTTATTAAAGATACAACAGCAACACATCACATACCTCTTTCTTCTTTTTGGGCTTACTGCCACCCTCTTCCTCTTCCTCCTCGTCGTCGTCAGAGCTTCTCTTCTTCGAGCTACTGGAGTCTTTGGAGCGACCCGAGGAGGCTGTGACCGATTTGCTGCCCCCGCTGCTCGGCGTGGAGCTTCCGCCGCCGCCTCCGCTGCTGCTGCTGCTCTTCTTGTAAGTCTTCATGAATTCGGAAATAAGCTCAGGACAGCCCAGATTCTTCTCTGGCTCCCAGGTGTTGTGTTTTCTGAAGACCACATCATGACGTTTTACAAACCTGATACATCATCTGCTTCATTGTGCAGTACGGCCGACCAGTCCAGGGTGCAGCCCGAGGGTCATTTAATCACACATCTGGATGCACAGTTACGCCGCCGGCTAAATTGATTATGAAGAGCACACTGATCTGAACTGATCACATCCAACTCGCGTCTTGATCTGACAATTCTATATTTGGGCGCTTGCATGCAATCTGGAAGGCAGTGAATGTCCCTCCAGGCTTGGCTGATGATGATATCCAAATTGCCTGATCTTTTGCCCAATCATCACAATGACCATCATCACCTATGAAAGAATCAGACCATTGTGATACAGTTTAATTAACGTCAGCAAGAAGGAAAGACAACTTACTCTGAATATCCTTTCCACTTCAGGAAGAACTCGACCCTGCCTTTCACAACTCTCCTGTCCAGCACCTTCTCCACAACATACTCTTCCTCATCCGATGATGAGGAGTCTTCTTCGCGAGACTTTTTGCCCATAGCAGAGTTTGTTGGTGAGCGCCTGGCTGTCCCGGCTCAATGGCACTTTCCTGCACAAAGGGAGAAGCTGATGTTTTTAAAAATCATCCTTTCCAGCATTCGGTCAAACAACGCGTAGCTACTTGGCTCGCGTTTGGTTCCGCGACCGGCTGAAAACCCCCCAAAAAGCATCATTTCATTGTCAATCCATTCTGCAACGGGGCGCGACGCATGCACGAAACGTTACGCTCAGCAGGCTGATGATACAACGCAGGTCAGAACACGCAAAGCGTGCACACGGAGGTTAAGACGCGACCACCAAAACCAAACCAATGGGCACGAAAGGCAAACTTCAACCTGCACCGCTAGCCCGCGAGCTAACGCCTCAGCGGCGGCTACTAGCTAACACTGACACCCGAGTCGACATCACACACGCCGAGGCGTGATGCGGCGTGTTTTTCTGCGCGTGGGCCGATTCATACCCGTGGGACGCGTGGATAGTCGTCGGAGCCGGTTAACCTCGTCGGTAACGCGCGTCTTTTGTGGGCGCTGCGGGTCTCTGGAGCCGACGCCGGAGCTACGAGCTACGTTAGCAAACAGCCTGGATCACATAAAGGTGCTGCGCGCCGGCCTGTGCGTAAAAAGCGCGCGGTGAGGGCGCACAATAAAGATACCCGCCCCTCCTCCTCCTCCTCCTCCAGGTCAGCTGATGACCTACATCCGTAGCTAAGCGACAAATGCTAATGCTACAAAGACAATCACAAGCGGCTTTGCCGCGTCGCTCGCGACGCGTTTATTGTGATGTGTACCGATGCAGAACGTGAGATATAAACATCTGTGTGTTTGAGGCGGCGAAGATGCAGATGTGTCTTCACCGAGAAAAAAAGGCGCAGCGGACACCTGCGACCAGGTGTGAAAAGTCGGGTATAATTACGGATTTGGTGTTTTCTGGTGCCTTTACTCGGTAAATTCGTGGCCCAAGATCACATTTGGCTTGAGTTATATTACGCCATGAATCCTCTCATCAATCTAGGCTTTAAACAACATCCATTTTTTTTTTATTATCGTCGTGATTTCGAAAGGCACCGCCCACCGCCACGCCATTGGTCACAGGTGGTGATTGACGGAATGTGGACCAATCGGAATTCAACCGAAGCAGACGACAGACCACAGCGGGAACAACGGGCCAATTGCTCAGAGAAAGAGGTGTTTCCTTTGCGGTTTATTCCACTGTGGGGAGGCAGGCGAGGACAGTCCGTCTGACGCAGGTCGCTTCTCTCCGCTCAGTCCGCAAGGAGTCTTCAACGTTTCGCCTGCAAACATGTCGAAAGATGTGAGTATCGCGTTGAGAAATCCCTCCCGACGAGTCTCGTGCAACATAAAAAAAAACATGCATTCGATGCTTTGTGTTTGATATCAAGCGCCGCAAATCCGCCATTTTACAACAGCTGGGCCTCGTGGCCTTTTGTTCAAACCACGCAAGCGATTACGCTTTTTTTTTCTTCCTCGATATTCAATATTACTGCTCGAGACGCAAACGCGCGACATTTAACAGGCAACAAAGTGTTTGTGTGTGTCCGTTCCGCTGCTACTGGGGACGCGTTTTATTTTAAACAAGGCCGGGCTGCTCGCGTTAATGGCGGCCGCCTCGACAGACCGAGTGCCTTCACCGTCACCTCCTCCGCGTTGTTCATTCTGACGCGGTTCTTAATCGCCCCTTTTTAAACGTTTGTTTTATTTTGTCTTCATGTGCATCGTCAGGTCCCGCGTGAGCCGGAGCAGCTCCGCAAGCTGTTCATCGGAGGTCTGAGCTTCGAGACCACAGACGAAAGCCTGCGGGGGTCATTTCGAGCAATGGGGCAGCCTCACAGACTGCGTGGTAAGCTGCCAAAATCAGCCCCACCTGGCGGGCTTTTTACATCCTGGATGGTGCGATGCGTTGACCCCCCCTGCAAAAACAATGCGTAATGGACATCTCCCTTTTTCTTTAAGGTGATGAGGGATCCCAACACGAAGAGATCCAGAGGCTTTGGCTTTGTGACGTACTCGTCGGTCGATGAAGTCGACGCCGCCATGTCCGCTCGCCCCCACAAGGTCGACGGAAGAGTTGTCGAGCCCAAGCGAGCCGTGTCCAGGGAGGTGCGTCGGATTCGACGCGGTCCAACAGTCTTTGGTAAGCCTTGTGTGAAGGACGCCGCGTAACCGCGTGCTAATGTCTCACAGGACTCGAACCGGCCGGGTGCCCACGTCACCGTGAAGAAGATCTTTGTTGGGGGCATCAAGGAAGACACGGAGGAGTCCCACCTGCGCGACTACTTCACGCAGTTTGGCAAGATCGAGGTCATCGACATCATGACCGATCGCGGCTCCGGGAAGAAGAGGGGCTTTGCCTTCGTGACCTTCGACGACCACGATTCGGTCGATAGGATCGTCAGTAAGTGCGGGTGCCCGCCGTCCTTCTACCGCTCGGCCCTCCTGTCTCGCGTGTCCACTAACCACACTTTAACCCCCACCCACAGTCCAGAAGTACCACACAATCAACTCTCACAACTGCGAGGTGAGGAAGGCGCTTTCAAGGCAGGAAATGCAGACTACAGGCATGGGGGGAATGTCGGGTAAGGTGCTTTTTTTATTGTTGTTGATCCACAATGCAGTTAAGAGATGATCCCGGTGTTGATGGTCGTGTTTGTGGTTTAGGCCGCAGCAGTGGAGGTGGAAGGCCCTACGACTATGACCGAGGCTTCAACCAGGGTAAGACTACATATCATGACATTTAGTCGCACCGTTGGTACAGTGAATCGGAAGATTAACTTTGAGTGTTTTCCGCTTTCAGGCGGCAGGGGAAGATACGGAGACGGTCCGTACAATTGCAATGGAGGAGATGGTGGTAATGGCGGCGGCGGTAAGTAGGCAATTACGCCCAACATAGTGGACCTGTGTCAACAGTTGGTGTTTGGCACTAAAGTATTTATGTTGCAGGCTATGGAGGTGGTCCTGGTGGATACAACAACGGTGGCAACCGAGGATATAACCAAGGGTACAACCAGGGTGGTGGAGGCGGCGGCTATGGAGGTGGAGGAAATGGCTATGACAGCAATGGCTATGGTGAGTGATTTGGCACGGCTAACTGTTCTTTCTGAAAGGTGTGATTTACTCATGCTGTCCTGCTTGCAAATGGTCGCAGGTAACTGCGGTGGGGGAGGCAGCAGCGGTGGCGGAAATAACTACAACAACATGGGCCACTACGACTCCCAGGCCTCCAATTTTGGCCCGATGAAGAACAACTTTGGCGGCGGCGGCGGAGTTGGCAGGAACTTTGGTACGATGGGGCAGGCCAGCGCATGAACGTCCGCGGCGTGAGGAAGTTTCTGTAAGCTAAGTCTTCATTTGCTCCCAGGTGGTGGTGGAGGAGGCGGCGGCGGCTATGGAGGTGGCTCAAACAATGGCGGATATGGCCGTTCAGGACGTTTTTAAAATGTGACGTGGTAAGTGCTCACTAACATGTCTGAACTCCGTTTTTTATAATCTTTTTATAAACCAGAGTTTGTAGTTGCAGAGACTCGTTAAGTGTAGATAAATATTTAAAAAAAAAAAAAAATCACTCTGGATGTCAGGTCGTATGAAGTCAGTGCACAGTTAACAATGTTGTTCCGTATTGTTCAACAGGGCTGAGTACTTAGGAGAGGAGAGCGAGGAGAGCAAGCGAATTGACAGGGCAGCTGCAGGTTTACCTCCTAAATCTGCTCAGCCAAACAGTTGTGGCAGGTTACGGCTGCTGCAAGAAGAGATGTACAGTAGATAAATCATGGAGGGTCTTCATTTAAACGTTTTGTGCTTCTTGTTTTGTTTTTTTCATCAAATGTTTTTTTTGGGAAAGCAAGCATTCCAATGAGGTTTTGTGTAGATTGTTTTTCTGCAAAGTCTGGTTTTTATTTGTATCTGCATCGAATCAAGCTGAAATAAACACACTTTCAGTTTTTTTTACAAAGTCTTGTTAGCCTCTTGAGTGGTTTGGGAAAGGGAGGGTTCATTATTCGGTGCTACACACCTGTGGGGTGAGGGACATGTTCCACATGACGCGAGCGAGCAGCAGAAAGAAATCCGTTGCTGAGAATGATGCGTGAGAAGCCTGTGTGCTGTTCACCATGTACATCAAAAAGCAAGTGGCGTTGCAATACTGGTTGAGGAATGAAAGGTGGTGCACAAGTACTTCCACCACAAAGAGCCCACCACTTGGTACAGAATACCCTGAGTTCTGCAAAGGTCCAACTGGAGGATGCTAGCTTACATGCAAAGTCTTTGAGGCCAGTCATGGAAGCCAGCTGAGGGAGAGAAGTAGCAAAACCATCGCCAGGATCATTGAAGCAGGGAAGAGTGAGAACAGAAGCCTGAGGCTAGCAGGCAGCAGCTTCCAAAAGGCTTATGTGCTTTCTGTAGGTAAGACCAGACTTCTCAACTACTGATAGTATGTCTTGCTATTTTTTTTTTCTTCCCCCCCCCAAATGTAGCTGGTAGTGAGTTGTGTAGCCCAGTAATGACATGACGTTTGTGCAAACAAGTTTTATTATGACGTACACCCATGTTGTCTGTTAGACTCGGCCTCCTAATTGTGCATAGAGGCGCTACAACATATTGCATGCAGTCAACAAAATGTGTGTGTGGGCGGGGGGGGGTTGTAAAAAAGAAAAAGTAAAACACTTTACTTATTTGGTGTCTCTGCTTTCCAGGTAACTGCTCTTCATACCTGGCATTTCTGTGACAATGGCTAAATCAGGTAAAATCATTAAACTATTACATTCTTTTCAACATTTTCCTCATTTAACACTTAATTCATTTATATATACAGGTTCCCAGAAAAGTGATGGTGGTACTTTTTCCCTTTTTTTTATATATAAATATTTTTGAATCAGGCTGCCGTGCAGTGTGTATTTTATATATATTTTTAATAAAGTATTTTTTTTATAACTGGATTTGGTCAATTTGTAAAGTTTGTGTTGACTGATGCGTGTCGAGTTCTACACCAGGCTGAATTTCCCCACCGTGGTACTAATAAAGGATTGTCTCAGGTCACACCACGTGAAATTACTCAAGTTCATATACTTTAAATTGGCATAATTCGGCATAAAGCCTTTCGTAAGGGTTTTGTATCACCAATCAGTTATCAACATTGCTCTCTCTTTTGCATAGTTGCGTTAGGAACCAAATAAATTTTACCATCCAACGTCTGTTGAAGGGCATACTCATCGATTGAGAATGGTTGTCCTTCCTCATCTCTCAGGTGAGAGAATACTTGTGAATATAGATCTGTAAGGTGACATTTAATAAAGGTCAAGCTGCGCTGGAACTCGACTCTCTCCCTGGCCAGGTGCTCTCTTTGGGCCTGCAGCTGGTTCAGTTCTTTTTCCAGATGAATTATGCTCTCGAGCTTCCTTTTCCTGCAGTTCTGAGCAGCCACCTTGTTTTTCCCCCTCCGCCTGATGTCCCTGACTAGTGCCAATTGATGATCCGTCAGAGTATATTGTGTCAGGAGCTCATTGAAGTCATCCACCGGTAGATTAACAATCTTCTCCATCGGAAAGGGGATCTTCAAAGACATCGCTCGCCGCTCATCTCTGCTGAGAGGAGCCGGAGTGGAGATACTTCCTTGTGGCTTTGCGTACACGTTGTATTGTGAGCTCCCTCTGCTGGACGCCCCCATGTCAATGCTCAGGTGGCCCAGGGCACAGTTCTGACCCGGCGGTTTCACTGGCCGAGACAGAGCGATGGGTGCAGGATGAGATAAATTTGGTTCTGTGGAATAAGCTGGATGTCCACCTGGGTGTAAATATGAGTACGATTGACTCTGGTAGTCCATGGAGTAATGGGCGCTTGCTCTTCTAGCCTGTTCAGCCATGCTGTCCGGTTCTCCATCGCTATATGTCACGCCTACGTCTACTCTCTGGTACCCTGGAGCACCACCAACGGGGTTGTCTGGGGAGGCCAAAGGGGGACTTGAACCCAGAGAAAGACCAGAGTCTGACTCAATCTCATCCGCTGGGAGGACGTGCGCGCCATGTCCGTGTGTGGTCCAAAGCATGTGCCGACGTGGGTCCTGAGACAGACCGGCGTGGGCCCTCCGGTGCCCTTGGCCGGCGCCGGAGGCGTTCATCTGTTCCCTGAGAGCCACATGCGAGGGCTGCGCGTGACCGGAGGCGGGGAGCATTCTTTGAAAGTGCTGAGAGTCGGCGTGTCCATACATCGCCCCTGCGTTGTCGCCCAGACGGTGGAAACACCCGTCGTAGGCGTCGGCAGTGCTGAGCGCGCAGGCAGCCGGCAGGGCCTCCGGGTGGGACTGAGCCATCTCGTATCCTCCCACGGGGACCATGGGCTCCATGGTTTGGTACTGCGCCGTCTCATAGGAGCCGGCGCTGGAGACTTCAAACTCCTGCAACGGAAACCAAAGTTATTAACGGCCGGTTCATCGGCATATATGTCGTGCTAAACACATCAAAAAGATTGAAGCCAATGCAAATAACTTGCAAGAATTTCAAATTAATTAGTGGAACTCTTTTTTTCTTCCTCATTTCATCTGGCTAACCATAGAACACAGTTTGCGCCCACTTCAGCATGCCACCCATAGCCTATGAAGGGGTCTCATAGACGTGATCAGGTTTCCCCTGGAAACAGACGTCTTTTGTGCTGTGCAGGGGGCCGCTAGCAACATGCAGCACTTGCCCCCTCTAGCAATCTCTTCATCTCGCCATCGTTCAAACGGGCCATTGTTGCTTTCCTCAGCCGAGTATTAGTTTTTCAACAGTTAGCAAGACGTGAAAAGAGGAAGTATTTATTCGAGTAGAATGAAACGTAATAGATTTAGTAATTATTTTTAGTGCAAAAATAAACCGCATGTCCATGAGAATGCTGCTTGAGATATTGCGATAACATTTTCCTGTTTGGGGGGAAAAGACACAACCTGGGAAATCCGTAAGTAAGAGTTACCTGCAGCTCTGGGATGGCCATCAGCTCCTGCCAGGCCACATCCATCTCTGTGTCCTGAGGAGCTCCATGAGGCCTGGCTCCAGGGTAATTACTTGACATGGACACTCCGCCACACTGCCTGCCTGGAAAAGCTAATACCTTGTGAAAGTAAAGACAAATTATAACCGCCATAAGTATATATTTCAGGCCTGATTATCTTTTTTTTTCCCCGTTCATGCAAAGACTTACCTCGCAGGTCCTCCTCAGAGGGAGAGCATAGTTGACCGTGGAACACATTCAGGAAGAGCTTTTGTTGCAGAAGATCAACCTGGCAAAGACACCCTGCAGAGTTAGTATTACCTACGCGCCATCTGAACTCTTGATACACCAGAAAAAGAAAGAAAAACTCATTATCAGTATCTGCAAGCCACAAAGTTACACAATGCGTCCCAACACCCATTTCTAATACATACAGCACAGATCGGTCGACCTGCCGCTGCTAAATAAATGACTGGGTGCTCTTTTGGAGAGCGTGAGGGGTTCAGTTCAGTTGATTTAACTCCTCCCAACAGATGTCCCGGGCGCAGCCATGCCGACTCCTGATAACACAATCTGCGGGAAAACAGCGCTAGCTTCGAGACACACCGGGGCCTGATGGCTGCGTGGAGAATTTGGTGTGAGGCTTGCATGTTGGCAGAACTCTCTCAAATGATTTGGTTGAGCTGTCAGTTATTTTTAAAGAAATCCCCCCGCTTGTATTGCATCTCTTAGAAATATTCCAATTGAGTTAAAAACACAATTTAAACAGCTGCCTAAAAACCAAAAGGGAATGAACACAATTTACAACACACACGATGCACAAAAACGTCCATCTGTTTGGTTGATGATTAAAACTTAATTGAGTCAATACACATACAGAAGAAACCATGAATGAGGCTGCGAATGATCTTCTGCTATGTACGTGTTGCACTGCTTCGCCCTATGACACTGTTCAAACTGAATAAACAGTAAGTGACTTATACATTTGAAAGGTGACTTTTCTAACTTGAATGTGACTTTTGTAGCAACAGGATAATTCAATAAATGTGTTTGATAAACGGGAGTGTTCCCTTCAATAAATGAGGTGTCCACAAGGTGCAGCTTTAAGCTTCTCCACTGACGGTGATGCAGTAACTGCTTCGTGCTTATGACACGCTGATGTGGGCAATAGTACCTTTGTAGTGGGAATTATCTGAAATTCAATAGGTTATTAAAAACAAGTAATCAAAGTCAGGCTAATTGGACCGCAGTGTCACACAGGTGTCACATTGCAGTCCAAGTTCAATGAGTTGAACTGTACGAGTAATTGTTTCCACTTGTTAATTGTTTAATCCGCATAAAAATGTTTTTAATTTATGTATCTTAGATTTTAAATACTCTCTAATATACTCTTGACCTTCAAAATAAACCGAACAAAATGTGTAGTATCTAAATTGCACCGGCCTTTGAGGCTATTTGCTGTCCCCTGTCATGTGTGAATTATTTTGCCGTTTTGAAAAATAAGGTTGTAACTATCATATCCTGCTATAACCAGAGTGCCGCTTGTGGTCAGTTTCTTACGGCTGTTTCCTTCACTGTAAGAGATCGTAATTCACTCTCAACTCTTGAAGGCCATTGTTTTAGACAATGAAAAAGAAGTTCAAATTCTGAATAGTCAAATGACTCACCAAGATAAAACTTCTAATAAGTCATTTGTGGAGATGTATTCAACTGTGTTATTACTTAAAAAATATTACTATTATTTACAACATAAAAACCTTCAAGTGTTTGCAAAAGTCTAATTGCGTTGTTTAATAGATTACTTGGCTACGAAATTACGTGTATTACAAAAATTACAAGATTTCATTTGAATAGCGACACTATAATCGCTCAGTCTGCAGTAGCTTTGCAACAGATGAGATAAATTGAAAGAAAGGATCAGGTGAGTAAACATACCTGGACACCATTCTCTGCTCCTTCAAAATGTGTAAAAAAAAAAAGAAACAGATGTGAACCACAATCCTGGTGGTAAGAAAATAACAAAAAATGATCAAAAGAAGAATCCGTTCTTTGTCACAGATGATGTCAAGTCAAGTACACAAGGCCCTTTGCTCTCGCTCTTCTTAAACTGTCTGTCCCTCTGTCGGTTCAGCGAGTCATACAGCCACCGGCGTAAAATGGGATGGCTCTGTGCGGACAAACACAATCTTCCTGTAAAGCACCCACACCACTTTTTTTTCTCTCTTCTATCCCCAATAGCACACTTGCACTCCAACCTCCAAATTTCCCTTTTGCCCACATGACAAACCACAAACCAACAGCCTGCCAAACAACACGGCAATCATTGTCCGTCCACACTGAGGTGGGCAGATGTTTACACAAAGCAATAAAAAAATACCTTGCGCAATTTTGATTTAAATTCTCATTGTGAGATTAAAAAAAAGAAGAAAAAAGTCATAGACAAGTAGCCTGCTGGTTGTCTCTTTGCGGGCAAAAACCGTACAAGAGCGGCGTCCTTTCAAATCCTCCAGGAGGCGAGGTATGAGGCGTGTGATGCGGAGCACCTGGAGCTGGCATCGCAGGCAGGGCCCTGTGCAAGCGGGAGTGGGTCGCAGGTAAGATCGCGACTCAGCTTAGTAGAGATGGAATGTACGGCCTCCGACAGGTAAGAAAGGCTACATTGTTCCTCTATCTGGCAGAGCAACCGCCGAGGGAGCGAGAGGAGCAGGGGGAGAATGGAGGGGAGCGTGTCTTACATAGCAAGTAACCATTAAAATCCCTCACCCCCCCCCAAAAAAAAAATCCCCCTGATCTGAAGCACTGTGAGCAGTGAACTCACAGAGGCCGCGTGTTGTGTGGAACTCTATTGTGCAACAGATTTCCAGACAATTACTGGAGAAGACGTAGCTATTGCTTAATAGAGCATTTCGTTGTTATGCACAGTGATAGATTGCTGCCTTTCAACAACCATTTTGGAACGTGAAATATAAGAGGTTCAATTCCTCGTAAAATCGCCTCTGTTGTGCGAAATGAATGGATTTCAAGTGTTTGATGATTAAATCACCTGATTGACATACAGATGTGCGTCCTTTAACTTTGCTTCTGTGACTACAACAAATGCAAAAGCCTTTGAAAGAAATGTTACATTTTTGTAAAACAAGCAGAATTACTCAAACAAGGGAGCCACCGTCTGTTATTTGCTCATGAGACAACCTTGGTGTGCAACAGAGGAAAGCAGTTTATGTACATAAGCATTGCACTACTTTCAATTAATTTACTCAGGAACTGATGGGGTACATGCATGTACAGGGGGATTCACAATTTATGCAATTCACAATAAGCATTCTTAACATTAAACATAAAGCAGATCTTTATGTCTTTACACTTTATAATTCAACTCAACTTTTTTAGTTGACAGACACAGAACATGTTTGTGGACAAATACAATGAAGTCACTTAATGAGAATTTTCACTCTCAATACAAAGTGGACCATAAACATTTTTTTTGCCAAATAATGTGCATTTCAGGGCTTTCAATGACAAAAGTTGAGTTATATGGCCCTGTATATTCCAAAACCATGAGGATATGTCGCGTTTGGTCTGATCCCACAAAGACAGAAATCTCAATGTTTCCTTTGTCATTGTTTTAAGATGGAAAGAGTAGGTGGCTGACAGAGTCAAGAAAGGTGAATTTCTACCAGGAATCAAAAAAAGGGACTTCCCAAGCCCAGTTCCTAGCACCAAGCCCCTGCCTCAACCACTGGCCCAGCATGCCAGAGAGCGCCCTGTTATTACTGCGACCACAATGGTTGAGAATCTGGACACAGTTCCCGCGCCTACGCCTTCTTTCCCTGTTTGTGTTTGTTTGCTTCAATTAGTCGTTAACATCTCTGCTCTCCAGCTTGCGTGTTCCTCTTAAGGCCGCCAGCCTTTTTTTTTTTTTTTTTGTGCTGACCACGTCGATGCTACGAACAGCTCTGCTTAAAACATACATGTTACATATTGGCTGGGAACTGCTCACATAATTTGGTCTCTTTGGTTGTTCCCCACCTATTGGTGTCCCGGTGTTTCTGTAGCATTTCATTTGTTTATTAAAGATGAAGAAATGGGGCATCATTGGTTTTGTTTTAACTCTAGAAAAGCTGTAACAGACATTAACTGAAAAACCGCCTCCTGCTAAACAAAATGAATGTGAGCTTTGAGTTGTGGTATCATAAAGGGAATATTTTTGGAGTCAGCTTCTGGGAAAGGAAAAAAAAAAGAAAGGGCAGATAGAGTATTATTTCTTTACTTAATGATAAACTATATGACTAATAGTGACATTTTACTTTTGTATAATGTTATTTGACGTCTTTAATAAACACATAAAAATAATAATATAAAGTGGTAACATTTGCAAATGTTTATCAGGGAAGTCAACGAGACAGTTTTTTTTAAATTTGGGCCAGTATGAAGCTGCTTATACCCAATTAGGGTGTTTATTTCAATTTGTACATTTCTGATGTTTTGCAAATAAGCAGGATGCAAAATGCTTTAATGGACATGTTCCTCCGTGCAACTGAAGTGGATGGGATTTAGAGATAACCTTTCCATTCTTGTTCCTTCAGAGGCCGATCATGATAGTCATCTCTACCTGAAACCAAAAGAGGAACCTGAAGATGCTGCATCATTTTACCGAATGTCTCAATAAGACATGCGCTTATCTCAAGATGAATAGATTAAAATGTTTTGTAACATCAGTGGTGTATTTCAAAATTATTTTGTGATTATTTCGACCCTTCCTTTCTGAAATAGCCCATTTCTAGATTTTAATACTGGTGTTGGAAAGTCATGATAAGAACATGTAATTGTTTGCGTGGTGGTCATTGCATACATGCGTATTCAATGAATGTCAAGTCTGGTGTGTAGCGCGGACACAGAGAGGGAAGGTAAGGAAAGGAGGATGTTGGTTGGCGGAAGCTCTGCTAAATGCTGATAAAAGTAGCACTTGGTTCTTCGGAAGGGAACTGCTAACTGCTGTGGTTGCTGGCATAAAGCTGAGATGAGGGGAGCAACACATTACTTCATTCTCTATCTATTGCAGTTATTCATTTCCACTTTTTTAATCGTTGTGAGTATTAGACAGAACCAGTAATAAATGAACAAATGCTTCTCCCTTTATGCGTTTAAGATGTGTCTTCAAGGTCCTTCAACCATGACATGCACACATCTTATTTTGAATTCTTTAATTCCGTTACTAAGCAACCACCGTGTTCATTTATCATAAATGTTGATTCATCGTTCAACTTTCATTCATCCCCATCTCCAACCCTTCCAGCATGATCATAACAGATTTTCTAACACATATTTGTATGAACGGGAATTCATTTTAATTAATGTCATGAGAATATTTTTCTCGTGTAACATGTGAGCAAGTTCAAGGCAGCACACTTGTTTCCTTTCCTGTCGGGTACATTTTGAAATCTTAGTGGCTGAATTGTGTAAACATAGGGCAGTATTGCAACACTTTATGGTTGTCCGCAATGTTGGTGTTAAGAATGAATGGCAAACATCGTTTGTAGCATTTCCCCACACACCCATTTGCAGTTTAAAAAATAGCCGTGCACCACTTACTTTCTAAACTTTAGGCCCACATATTCCTGTGTCATTTCAAACTCAAGCCTAAAAATATCTTACAGTAAGGCCAAACAGCTGATGTAATTCATGGTGTGATACAGGGAAATCCCCATCAGCCCGGGTTTCCAAGTGCTTCCCAGAAGTGGCAGCTATGATGATTTGGGTCGGTTAGATGTAGGAGGATCCCGAAAAAAAGATGTTGATGGGTACAAGAAAGCCAGCCTTGTAAATTAACAGTTAGAAAAAAATGATGATTGATGTGGACCTTGGTAGAGATTGGAACTCTGACAACAACTTCAATGGCCTAACGTCGTTGATGAAAATATTTAGAAAGCGACTGACATTGGCACCGTTGGTCGGGATCTAGATCGTGGAAATACACAATACATTTTCATAAAACGAAAAAGAAAAGTAGTAAGTAAATGGGTGGGTGCACAGTTGTAAACTTAATCTACAATACGCCAGCAGAACACAGAATAACACACATATATAGTTTGTGGAGAAGAACCCACGACATTGGACTTTACTTGAAAGACGTGAGATTATCAAGTTTCAACTTTTCCATAATGCGTTGCAGGTACTGGTGAGTTTAACTGGAATACATTTAATGAGTGTTGTTTCCGGGTTGTGCTCTCGAGCAGCTCTTTGCCCCACTGAACCAAACGCAGGCTTTGTATCAGCCAATGAGAAGGAGCTTTATTCACCAAAGCCGTGACGTGGCCGCGGCGCAGCAGTTGTCTGCTAGCTAGCTAGTTTGCTAACGAGAGAGAAGATGCATTCTCCAATACTGGTAATGTTATCGCCTGAATTCATTTAGTACATTACATGTGTCATTCAAGCTTTTAATTATAACTTATTTGTATTACTACATGTGGTTGCTCCTCGACATTTAATGGAATATGAATATGATCTAGTTATTGAGTTAATTCGAGAGCTAACTAAAGTAAACGGGTCCACTGTGTTGGCTAACCAGCTAGCTTGCCCTCAGAGCGGTTAGCTTCGTGTGTTTGTCGATGATGTGGAAGTGTCATGTCTTCCTTATGACATCGCGATTGAGCAGTTGTTATGGCTATTTGTAATATATATTGAGGTTTTGCGTTTTCATCCACTTAATGTTGGTGCACCCAGCGCGGTCCTGACGAAGTTTGATGACATGCTAACTTTTCATTTACATTTGTTGTTGACATTTCTACGTTTGATCAGTAATGCTCTGGGGAATTGAGTCGGTGCTTACATTGTCTTAACAGGGACCGTCCTTGTACACCGTCAAAGCAGTTCTGATTCTGGACAACGATGGAGACAGGCTGTATGCCAAGGTAAGATATAACATTAGATAATAGTACAACCACGTTACCATCATTAACTTGGTTAAACTTGTCTTCAGCATTTGCTCCTGAGCCAACTGCTTTGAAGGATCCGCCTGGGGAGAATTTATGTTTTTCTTTTCAACCAATTCACCTAAACGCAAAAACCAACACCTTTTTTTTTTTACATTAGCATTCCATTTACCCTTTTCCAACCCTCATTCCCACTAAAAGTCTCACAGGGTTCATATGTAACTAAAGTAACTATACTTATGTTTTATTTACTATACTTTTGTTCTACGCTCTTTTCATATTTGTACATGCATTATTCATGTGTGCAGTGCAATGTGGCTTATTTACTGGGGTAAAATACACATTAAAACAGTTGATTATAATGTAGAATAGTAGAATGGGGGTTATCGGCACACGACGTGGTAAATGCGTGTTTGTTATAGCTTAATCTGCTCCGTGTCAAACACACCGATGGGGGAAGTTGGAAAGTATTTAACAATTGAGTCATGCGCTTATGGTATTTGTATTACATTTGTTGAAAATGTTTAATATCTCAAGACTTTTTCTTTTAATCCAAATGGAAACCTATTAATTTAAAGTTTGCCTTGAGTCATAAGTTAAGATGGCAACATGTAATAACGTCTTCACTTTGACTTCATCCACAGTATTATGGTGATGGATACCCATCGGTGAAAGAGCAGAAGGCGTTGGAGAAGAACATATTCAACAAAACCCACAGGACGGACAGTAAGACACATTTATTAAAGATGATCATTTTCCGGCCTCCGTACATCTTATGACATCCGTTGGTTTGATTTTTGTGTGTCCTTAGGTGAGATCGCTTTACTCGAAGGCCTCACTGTTGTCTACAAGAGCAACATTGACCTTTTCTTTTATGTAATCGGAAGTTCTCATGAAAATGAGGTAAGCCTAATTTTGGGATTTTATCATGATCTATTATCAAGCAAGACTTGTAAACCAATTCTTGTAAAATCCCACCATGTCTCTTGCAAATGCTGTTATGGTTTGAATCGTATCAGCTAAAACTGTAATTTGTGACGGTTGATAGTTTCCCCAATTTAATGATCTTCCAAAACATTTAAAAATATTTACTGACTTGTGCAGTCTCTTTATAGGGTATATTTGTTTTGAGTGGCCCATTCTGCATTTTACATCTTAAAGTGATTATATTAATTCTAACTTACCAACTGTGGTTTATTGTCAAAATGAAATGTTATCAGCTGTGGTTTCTCATCTGGACTTGTTTCAAACTTCTATGTAATATGGCTGGTGGTGGATTTATTATGTTGTTTTCTCTAATTCAGCATGACATTGATTGCTGTAGTTATTAGATGATAAATAAATACAAATAAGTAATTGACCAATCAAACAGATTATTTTTGTGAAAATGTTCTCAATTGCATAATTACCCGATTAAGTTGATCAGAGATGCTTTGACCTAACTGGCAAATGTATTCACCTTTTTGGTGTTAAACAGTGTTTCTTCGAGGCTCAGCTTTTGGGATTATTTGGATAACCAGTATTGTGGAATACACGGATGTATTTATATTTCTATGTTTTACAAGTAATAAAACGAACTTCATCCATTGTGAAATAGGGTGTCATTTAATCTCCTGATGTGACTTTTATTTAGAAAGATACTAATTAAGAGTCTGTACAGACGGAGAGCTTCGGCTTAGGAAGAAAATCAATAAATGATGTGCCTTAAGGTCCAAATGCATATTGTGAAAACCATAACAAGCAATTTCACATGTTATTTCCATAATGATTTTCTCCCACATGAAAGACAAACGATGTGGGCTCAACACACCTGAACCGAGTCTAATATTTTCTTTTCTTCTCAACAGCTTATGCTCATGGCAGTTCTAAACTGCCTTTTTGATTCGCTCAGTCAGATGTTGAGGTAAGTTTTGACAGCTGTGTTTCTGCAAAACTTCAATAAAACAATTTTTGATGTGTAAAAAGTTTACATGTATGTTTTTCTCTTACTCTGTAGGAAGAATGTAGAGAGAAGGGCTTTGTTGGAGAATATGGAGGGGCTCTTCTTGGCTGTGGATGAAATTGTAGATGGAGGGTATGCACAAACTGCACATTCAGCACCATAAAGGTTTAATTGAATTCATGTGAAAAATAGCAAATCTAAGTACAGCATCTTACTGTGGGATTAATAATTGCTGCTCTGTCGCTTTGCTGCCTACTGCAGGGTGATTCTGGAGAGTGACCCACAGCAAGTTGTGCACCGCGTGGCTCTCAGAGTAAGCAGCTCTCTCTTTTCACATGCATTTTGTTATGTTATGTTGCATATAAACATAACATAATTGCTCCTGCAGGGGGATGATGTGCCTTTGACAGAGCAGACAGTCACCCAGGTGAGAAAATCAATCCGTGCATCTCTCTCTGCTATAAAGTTTAAAAGCTCCATTACATTATTGACTGTTAAAGCTCATTAATTCAGAACCTATGACTACAAGGGCATTGTTATAGCATCATTCTCCTCTGCTCCTACTCTACTACTACTCCTACTCTCTCTGTCATGCAAGTCCAAGTTGTCATAGATTCGGGGGCGGGATTCTTGTACCGAGGGTGGGGGCAAAGTTATTACAGGCACAAAATCCTCGAAGGGCTTGAGTCCGATTACTCTACGTAAAGGAGAACTAAACACAATCACACTTTCCCTCAATTCTGACACAACATGACACGGCGAGATGGATGGCCGAACTTAAACTATTAATTAAATAAAATATTGATTCTAAATACAAAGCTGTTCAGGAGGCAGGTGGTGGCCTGACTCTATTCTATAAGACACTTCATTCTTTCCTACTTTTGGTACACTTTGTCTCCCTGAATGTATACTTCAACACTAACGCACACATTTATATATAAATGATGATATATATATATATATATATATATATAATCAAGTTTCAGGAATAACAAAATCTGAATATCAGACTATGCAGATCTATGTGATTTAACAGTTATTTTTATATAGATATATATAAATTTAATAAACTTTAATAAACTTACCCATGGTATAATAGTGAACAAGAGCTTTTGACTTTTGTTTTTATAATCACCATGGCAAAATAAACATTGTAAAATAAAACATGTTGCCTTACAGGGTGTGAAATAGAGTGCATTTGATACGATTTTTAAAGGTGTCATCCATCTGCCTAAATGAATAATATGTGAATAACACAGCATTTAAACAATGTTTAAGATGTTTCAAAAGGGATATTGATTATCCAACAATAATACCCAAGACATATCTCTGAAGAGGTCCAATATTACTTTCTGAAAAAGTGCAGCAGATTAAAGTACGCCCTTCAATGTATTACAATACGTTCTATGACTAACTGTGCACACAATTAAAGGTTTTCCTTTAGAAATGAGTTGGAAGCCAACAGTGGATCTTTTACTTCTTACATGAGTCTTGTCAGAGCTCCTCGTGATTAATTTAGTCATTTAAGAGGCCTGAGACGGGCCACCTCCATCCTTCATCTAGCTGTGATTAATGCCTGTCCCAAGTCCCCATTCTTAATGGTTATGATTATCCTTTTCATTTAATGAGTTAAGATGATTAATTAGATGTTGCAGTGTGAGTTTCTATATTTTTTATTGTTAGCTTTATTAGCAGCTAGCAGTCGTCTTAGCCTCTGTCGCAGTGAGAAATGCTTTGAATCTGGAGGTTTTGTCATTTGAGTGATCTGCTCGGTCAAACCTTGTTGTCATCCGCAGGTTCTTCAGTCTGCCAAAGAACAGATCAAGTGGTCGCTCCTGCGATAAAGTCCCGTCCGCACCAGTCTACCAGTGGGCCGCAGTTCAGCCCAGTCCTCGTGGCACTGATCCGCATACTCCATTTCCTCTGATTTCCACTCCTTCAATTAAAGCTGTGAGGAGTACGGCTGGCTAGTCTCACTGGATTACTGCTTGACAACGTTTTTTTAATTTCCAATATTTGTTTTTTTTGTGTGTATGATGATGATGTCGTACATTCCATCACTGCCTTATTGGTTGGTTCTTTTCATAAAGGCCTCTGGGTGTTAATTAAGCCAGTGAATTGGTCTCACGTCTAAACGTCATCGAAGCCTGTTGCCACATTCCTTGTGTATCCTTGAGCAAAGTTTATCCCATTTGACAGCATCGTCATCTTACTTTACAAAGTATTGAAGCACTGTCTGTCTTTCAATTACATGATTGTTGTGATTTAAATAAGGAGAACAACTTGTACTGTAGTCATACCAATAATAACAAAGGTGTGTTGTCAATATATTTTGGATCTTTTACATTCATACTCGGATAAATGATAAAGATACTTAATAAATAAATAAATAAATATTTGTTGACACCAAAATGTGAACAGCTGTGATATGTGAAGCTCTACCTGCCGTGTGATGAACATCGAAGACTTCAGCATTCATTTTAGAATCGCGTTGTTGACGTGAAGCCTCGACCTTTTGGGTATTAGAAACATTGTGCTGTGATCTGTAAATGCGGCGGGTTTGTCAGAGCTGCCATGCCGTTCTTTGTTCTTCAGGATGTCCCCTACAACCAGAGACTCTTGAGCAAGTGCTCCATCTCCTGGCGTCTGCAGCAAACTGCGAGGCCGAGGCACATAAATACTGTCGACAAGAAGGAAAAGAGGGGGAGGAGACTCATTCACACTGCGGCGATCGGAAACTTACGCTCTACTGTGTTTCTACGACGTGCGGATGAGTTTTATGGAGTCTTACATGATGGATTTCTGCTCTGTACAGAGCCACATGAGTTGTGGGCTTCGTTGTGTGCACCTCCGCCATCGAGCACCAACCTCTCACTCATTGTGATGCAAATGAAGGGTACAGTGTTGAGAGAAATGGATGCGAGAGAGAGGCCACTACATCATGTTGGTACCTGATGCATATAACAGGACTAGAAATGTAGCTAGCTGTGCTCTCATGATCACTTGAAGGTACTTTTGATGGGAGAGCTTTGTGTGGTGTACAGACCCAACCACGCTTCATTTTAAGTAGGAATTAAAGATGTCTCCTCCCTTTTCTGGACAATGATGATGCTTTGGCGCGTCTATTGGCCTGAGTAAAAGATCAGTAAGCTACTGTAGATATCTTTACAAAATGGCATAAATAATACATTTCCCTTTATCCCTTTTCTTCCTCTTTATATCTGAATGAGTCACTTGGCATCAAAGTGAGAAGTGAACTTACTTGATTTATTTGTTTTTGGTAGCGTGTGGAAAAGATCACACAGTGGGATTTTGCGAATAAGGAATGTAAATCAAAGTATCTCACCCTCATGTTCGGCAGACCGGAGATTTCACACTTCTACTGTCAAATAATCAGTTACAGCCTCCAGTGAAAGTGGACGGGGCTCCTTATCTCAAACATAAAAATGAAAAGATAAAGATAAAAAGTATTTCATAGGAAAACAGTCCAGCTATTCAAGGCATCCAATTTAATCTGCTACTTCTGTTGGGTTTGTGAAGCGTTTAAAAATGAATAAAAGTAAATTACATTGTAGTTACTCTTAGCCGGGTGAACAGCGCTTTACACGTTGTGTATCAGTGCCAGTTAAATGACAACAGCTCATAACAAAAAGGCAACAAAATGTGTGTATTTGTGCTTGGATGCATGCGCGTGGGTTCATGTCTTTATGTAAGCAATGTCACGTCAATGAAAAGTCAATGGAAGTGTTATTAACTCTGACCTGTGGACCTGTTGTCTTGGCTTTGCTTCTCGTTGATTCGGCCCCTGAATCTGTGGCCCTTTATTGCTGCAGAGACCGCGTGAATGGAGGCCATGTTGATACTTCCAAAGTGTTTTACTGGAGAGGGAGCAGAAAGAAAGGGAAAGGTAATCATTATAAATGGACTCCATTATTGCGCCGGTTTACTGTTATCGCACTAGTTTTGGCTGCGTAACGAGGAGCTTATGTCTCCGTGTGTGGTTACAGTGAGGCAGAGGGAAACATGAAGGTTAACAGGACGAGTTTAGCAGAAGTAGTTGGCGATAAACGTGATTAGGTGACATCCGGGCGACGGCCCTGTGGGAGCAGGGAGGCTGTTAAACCGGATCCCATCCAGGGTGCCTGTCCGGAGCCTCGCTTTTCGTCTAGAAGGTTCTGCACCTCCGTCGGGGGGCGCAGTGACTTCCTGTTCATCCGCTAATTACAGTTGCTCCATCCTAAAGAAAAAACAGCGAGGTAATTTATAATAATTATACAGGCATGAGTATAACAGCTTGGAACGCCGTGGCTCGACATGCTGTACATAACACGCAGTAAAATTGTCACAGACGTGTGTGCTGGAGCTTGTAATTGATGGATGCATACAGTGAAACGCTCGTTCTCTTGCGTGTATGTGTGTGAGTGGATTGTGTGAATTAGAGTCAATAAATCGTCATCATCAGTAAGCTTACAGAGTCTTTATGTCAAAGTCAATGGGCCTGAGCACCCGTCCAATGGCTTCCCCTGATAGAGAGTAACATTACCGGCGGGAACCAATGACAGCATGTTGGATGCGGCACAGTAAACATTTTAAAGGAAGCGTCATTATATTGTCCGAGCAGGTCAAAGGCCAAGACCAACATGATGTTTAATGACCTAGTGTATTAAAATTAACTAGGCCGTTTCACATGTACTGCTTTCTCACTCCCCGTCAAGTAGATTATGCTTAGATTTAATGCGTTGATATTAACATAATGTTTGGGAAACAATGTGCGGTCATCCCGCCCATTGCTCTTCGTTGAGCTGCATTTACTAGATTTTTCAAAATTAAGTCGACCCTCCACCATTCACCACGGAGTCCTCCGTCTGTCTGTGAGGATGGAGTGCGTCTCAGATCTCATATGCGTGCGCGCAGGGAGGAGGTGTGGGCCCGGTCCTGCTCCTCTCGCCCCGGCAGCATCTCGGCGGTGTGACGTGCTTTATGGCTCCAGTTTGGCCTCTCTGGCTCGGTTTATGGGTCGCCATAGAGAATCATGACCACTACAGGAAGAGCCGGCCAAAAACAACACCTCCACCAATGCACCGTTGCCTGCCTTTGCAATAACTCAACGCAATGTTTATGTTTCTGAAGAGAAATAAAAAAAAAAAAAGCATTCATAGTAATGACATAAGATGACTGTAAATTCTGATGTTAATGTTTAGGTTTTTTGTGGTTGATGTAGGATAAAAATGTCACCAGAAACGTGGCTGCTTTATTGTATGTCGTTAGCGGTTGGTGAAACAAGAGATCGTGGGCTTTGTTAAGGGAAATACTTTCTCTGCCCGCTTTGGACGAGCGTTGCCGTTCCACCACCAGTTACTTCTTGATACCCGTAAGATTTATCACATGAAAATGTTCAACTCTGATAACGAAAGCGCACCACCAAGGGCATCGTTAATCGGGGGGAGATATTCTACCTGATGTGTTTTCCCTCTGCTGTGCATTACTCTTTACCCTACGCGTGCTTTGGAAGAGGGATGGTGGATGGGGAAATATTCTGTGGTTAAAGGCGGTGCAGGTTAGGTGCAGCATGAACATGTTTTTTTTGCGCTCAGATTGCAAAACGGTGGCTGCTTCGGGGCTTTGGTTTGTGCCGAAGGGGCAGCTCCATCATCCTGCACAAGCTGCACAACTGGGGCACATCTGGGGTCCGGATGTGCTTGACTTGTCTCTTCCTGCAATCCAGAGGGCAGCGTGCAGATGCTGGCGGTGTGCTGTGTCGTAACAGCCCAAGGTTACTTGGGTTATCAAACGGTCAGCACCGGGGGTTTTGGTCTCAAAATGATGCACTGCGTACAGTCAACGGCAAAAGCTTCATGAGTGTTTCTGCCTCTGTGTCCATTAGGAAAACACGTCTGTTTTTTTCCTTTTTTCAATGGTCACATTTGGTCTTGTTTTGCTGGGGGTAAAAAAAATCCTCTGTAAATGCTTTACTGTTTTTTTTTTGCAAAAAACAGAAGAATGTAGATAAAAGCATTTTCTGCTGTGCAGCTCTGAACCCTCCGTTTGTTCTCTCCTTCCTCTCCCATCTACTCTTCCTCACTTTCTCCCCTCCCTCCCCGTGGATTCCCCAACCACACCACAACACCGTTAACAGACGCGCCCTTGACAGATTTACTGCCATCGTCTTTCCATTGGCCGCCAGCTTGACAGCGGAGATTTAATGCCTTCTTCTCATTGGCCAAGAGCAGACAGGTTAATTTATGGGTGCACTGTGATTTGATGCCTCCTGCCTTTGAAGTGAATTACAGCTTTGTCGCTTATAGGACACAGAAACGGTGTCAGGTTGCAATCGTAAAATCTCATCCCTGTAGGGAGGTGCGCTGTAGTATAGTGGTCCTGATGTCGTCAGAGGAGAAGAAACCTTCTTGTGTGAAGAGAGAAACGTGTGATAGTATAAAATGTTAGATGTCTATTGCCAACATGCTTTTAATAGCAACACAAACTATTCTGCTAATGCCAAAGAGATCAATTGCGTTGCAGAGAGAGAGAAATGGAAAATGCCTGTGACTGCGCAAGTCTGCACCCAGCTACTCCCATCGCTGCTCTTTCCACCGGAATGTGCATTTGTCTCATGCTCTTCTCTCATTCCGCGGGTTTTTGCTTGACGTTCGGGGTCAGAAGATCCTGAGCGACAGAGTAAATCACATATATACATCATGGCCGATCATCAGCGGCGGCACACCGCCCCCGAGTCACTTTGGCGTCTGACTACTGTATCTGATCACTGCGGCTCCAGCGTTCGTGCAGCGGCATCATCTGTCTGCAGCCTATCTCTCCATCGGCCTGACAGTTTGTGCTGACAAGATCAAGAGGAGCGGGGCCCTGTTATCAGCCTTAACCCATGGAAACCTCTGGAGGTGAAAAGCATTCGGCCTCGGTCCCATCACCCCTAGTGAATTCATGCCCCCTTTCGCTTGGATTTTAAATCCCTCTCTTTGCTCTTTCACTTCACACTTGAGGACGTCTGCTCGGATAGAAAATTGTCAGAAAATACAGCGGGAGAGAGAAAATCCCAGGACTTTCCCTGTCAAGTGAGATTGCATAATTTAGCCCGAGACCTTTGGCTGAACCTGATAACCTGGGGTTACACACATGCCATCTGACAATGTGCCATGTAAGATATAGAAAACAGGTTTTTCATCTCTAACAGACGCGATCCCTCTAAACCCAGAGGAATGACGGATAGTTCTGCGGTGTGTTTGAAGAGGTTGAGGCAGACGTACCTGTGTGGAGTTAACCATTTCGCTGAGGTCTACGTGGGCTCCGCGCTTTCCATTACAGCTTTTATGGGAACTCTTTTTTGGGCTGGCAGAATTACATTGTTAGTAAAAGCTTCTTGTAAATCTACACCTTTAAAGGAATGAATAGCTTCCCAGATAAAAATGTCGTTCCCCAGGAGAGTGAGCATTGAGCGCCTATAAAGCTCAAATATGGACTCTTGTTGTGGCTGGTTGGTTGTTCCCCAGCTCGGTGCGAAGGTGTCCCGAAGAGCTCCGGATTAATAGGGAGGCGTAAGGCCGGACTAGTCAAGGCTTACGATACCTCTGTTGAAAAGATACTTTTACTCAGTCTGCAATGTTCCAGGACGTCCATCCTGCTGAGGGAATGTGGATTACTGTTTATGTGGCCCAATAAATGTGCGCAACAAGGTCCCGCACCACTGAACGATATATTTCTAAATAAATCTGCCGATCATAAGTACAGTTTCACATGGTAGAGCAGGAGGCCGTCACACAGTATCCGGGGCTCCCGTCTGTGTATTAGGACAGTTTTTGAACGGATGCAGAGGTTTATGAACTGAGGACTGGCAGTCCAGTGCCGTATTGCACATTGGACATCCATGACAAAGTGTGTCCAAACCAAACAGACTCTACTGTAAATTGAATTCATTTATTATTTATATATATGTATATATTTGAAAACCTTGAGGCCTTTTTGGTTCCTCATCTTCCCCGTCCTCTCTAATCGCAAATCTCTCTGGCTTCATGCCATAAAGGCACGACTGAGCCAAATTGCAAATAGCTGATTCCGAAGATTCAGGTTCAAGTTCTGACTTTTATGGAGATTAGTTGTACATTAGAACCTATGAATATTCCTGATTTGAATATATTAAAACGCACAAGTAGGCCAAACTTGACTTTTCCCTTGTTAGCAGTCACTCGGGGGACGGCTCTCGCTTCTCTTCCCATGTGTGATAAACATGAAGCGACATGCGGAGGCTAATTAATGTAGCTGAGCTACACTGATTAGAAAGGTAGGATCTGTGAACATGGGACAGTTTGAAGCGTGATGCTGATGATGAAGATGTTTTTTGTGAGTCAGGGGGCTCAGTCTGTAATTTCCATACATTTATTAGACTTTGGCAACCAAAATACTGTAGTACACCAACTTTGTACACTTTGGAGGCCATTTATTCCATTTCAGATTTCATTTAGTGTGAAATGGTCGCCGTTAGCTAACACCCCCCCTCAATTGACCCGGCTAATCTTTAACTTAATATCGCTAAAGTTCTCTTGGTTAAAAGGCAGACCAAGATTCAGCCTCATCATTTATTTCTGAATAATCGCCCCCAGTATAAGAGAATATTACAATATTTGGAAATCATTAATAAGTAATGCTTTCACACATTAACTGCTCATTGTATGACGAGAACTTTAGATTTATGGCCAATTCTTTAATATAATATCAAATAGTTACGGAGCAAGTGCGATAAGTCAAATTGATGTTTTATATCAATGCAGACTCAGCTGGGTTAACGTTTAAACATACGTGTGTGTGTGTGTTTACAATTCTTTAACATCAGTTGGATTCTACTCATTTGTCTCAATTGCCTCTTGCAGCAAACACCCGACCTGTTCCTCTCGCTGAACGTTTGGGGTCGTGTTCACTGAGGAGTCCCGGAAAATGGGAGTAACCCATACGGATGAATTTGAATTTTAATGATGAGGAGCTCCAGCACGCTGCCGGCCATGGAACACCTCAGACGGCTGAAATATAAACGCTAATTAACACAGAGCGGTGGGCTGTCACAGGCCTGATGGATGTCGAGGCGGAGGTGGGTGGTGGGAGAGGTGGGGGAGGGGAGGGGGTGAAGATCACTGCTTTCAGCCAAACCGACGATCCTCTTATTAATCAAAGCGGTGAGATGAAAAGGCTCCCCCACACCTCGGGGAGAGGGAGATAGCGGCAGACATTGTCGGGAGGGTTTCAATCATTTGCCGGGAGCTCGGTGCTTTATTTGATCAGGGGGCGTCCAAACATTTGCAGGAGACGGAACGTTTCTGCTCCCGAGCGCTTGTTTTTGTGGACCTGTGAACGACCCGCGTGTCTTCGAGCACGCGGCGTGCACAGTCCACTCAGATTTACTGCCTGTTGGGCCAAATGTCTGTTTGCAGGACCTGTTTTTCTCTCTCTCATCCCTCCAACAGCAGAGGTGAGCCGGTGGACAGTCGGCGATCCCTCTTAAGCAGAGCTGTCGTCCTCCCTGATGGGGGGGGTGAGACGAACGCTCCCACGCGTTGACTTTGGGGCCCCCGCGACCGGTCGGATTCTGATCCGAGATGATTTCTGCACTTTGTGTATGGAGATGGAGTGTTATCTCCCCCTCTCTGGTCGCCTCCCCATCTACCTCACTTAAAGAGGTCCATTGTTAAGTGCCAGGGGCCTGTGGGTGCTGTAAATCAGGCGGCAGAGGGAGGGGATGTCTCCCACGGGGGAAGGCGCACACTCCCAGCAGCCTGGATGCTGATCTCATCCCGCCTTATCTTAATGCTTTAATCACTAGTCAAAAGCAAGGAGGAAGGTGCTAATGGGTGTGACCCGCCCAGCGTACGACGGATGTACGCGCAGAAAGAGCGACGGCGCAATGTACAACACACCAAGTCATTCTTCCCCTTTTTATTAAAGATTGTGATGTCGCCATACGGGCACTTACAGCTGAGTGTGTAGGTGTAGACTGGGGAACCTGGCGGAGGACATCCTGAGAAAGGTCATGGGATGAGAGTTGTCCTGGACATGTGACAATTTGCTAACATTGTACAAACTGGGGACAGGAGGTCCTTAGAAAGGAGGGTGACCAAGGTGGGAGCGATGAGGAAAAACAGGCTCAATATCAACCACGTTTGCTGTTTTTATCGCCTCTAATTGGGACAAAGTAAACATCTGGCAGGAGGCTGAGGTCCATCAGACCTAAGACCTCGCGCCACACCAACAGTTTCTTCCCGTCGGCAGTCGGGCTCATCAACAGAGCCGGTCCCCCACTGACTGACTCTAACACTCCACCGGTCACTCCTCTTCACACTGCACATGTCACTTTAACTGTCATTTATCACTTTGTCGTCACTCGTCACTTTGTCACTTGTTCACTAGTGCACTTTATGCTTAATATTTTTTTACTTTTTTAATATTTTAAATTTTTAACGTTAACTTTATTCTCTTGTTGTATACTAACCCATAGCCTTATTCTACTAACCCATTGCATTTGCATTTCATTTTACTTTGTTTTATTACTTACCTGCTGTCTTGTTGTCTATTGTTACACTGTCTACTGTCACGCACCAACCGCCAAGACAAATTCCTTGTATGTCTGACATATTTTGGCAATAAATTTTTCCTTATTCCTGATCTGTTGAGTAGTTTAACATAAGATTGTTGGATTTGGTTGAATTGAAAACAAAAACAGCGGCTGAGTAACAAAGAAATGAACACAAGGCTTAAACTTGAAAGTTTAGAGACTGGAATGAAACTTACCAAACATGAAAGAGGTGTGTTGGTCACCTCCATTTTCATCAAAAGAAAAGACCCACGTGTCTTTGCACAGTAACGGTTCTTTGTTACTGTCAAGGAAGGAAGGCGGTGAACACAGAGTTTTTGGGGGGACAGCCCCCTCTTGTGGTCTGACCAACAAGCAACACGATGCGACTGTACTGCAATCTTTAGTGGCACTATCAGATCGATTGAGCCATTAAAAAGGGATTTCATCATCCTCAGTTTTAATGAGAAATGTATTATTTTAATACCAAAAAACAGTGTCAGCAATTAAAATGTGAGGATTTAGTTCACGAATACAAAAAGGGGTTGGTTTTGAATTATCAGGAAATAACATCCATACTTTTAAAGGAAGGAAATAAGAGCATGTCATGTAAAGTCCTTGTTAATAATTGGCAGCATTGGAGAACATTTTGTTGTCTTTTAACATCGTGCTACATAATATTCCCCCTCATGTCGTCATTGCTGCCATCTTGTGACAAGAGTGGCGCATTACATATTTCTAGTTCAAAAGAAGTTATTTAATTTCTCATTTAATGTCTGTAGCAGATGGCAGCTGGAACGTCTCACAATGATCTGAACAAACATTTGTTTAAAAAGTGTAACAGCTTTATTTGAGACTTGGGGCCCTAAAACTCCACTCACTACAGAATGATTGACTGAGTCAAAATATAATTCACTTCACCCCAGAAATGACAAAACGGTGGGGCTCACATAAGAAAAAAAAAAAAAAGACTCCTTACCGAAACAAAATAGTATAGAAGATCCTCCAACAAATTCATGCAAAATTAAAAAAATACACTGACTAATCATGACTGCTATACTAACAAAAGCAAGGATGGAAGCTTTTATAATATTATATTCCTAATAGCAAGTTGAAAAATGACTTCCCATTTTCAGTTGTCACAAGAAATCATCAGACTAAGGAATATAACTTTGTAAATACTTTGATTTTCCTTTGAAGTGTAGGTCCCATACATACTATTTTCTAACCCTAATACAATTCAAATATATATATATATTAACTTCATAAAAAGTCAATACAGTGGTAGGCCTCAAACTCCATTCACAAAATCTAAAAGTCTGATGGCAACAGAAGCACCAGTCTACAATACAACCCTCTACCATTGAGCTAACATCTCCAGTCCAGTGTTTAAAGTCGGATTTCCTCATATAGAGGCCTGAAAATGTGAGTTATCACTTTACGAAACACCACGTGGAGCTTATAGTCCTCTTATCCGTAGCTCATCATCTTCACTGAAGACTCTCAGGGTTAAACTGGAGATGAAATGACACTGAGGAGGATGTGGATGAACCCAATAATACTTTCAAACACCCACATCGATCTGGGACCTGAATCTGACTAATCTGCATCACGTCTCCCAAATTACTTTTAGGGCTGGCTTAACTTCAATTGTGTGCCAACGTACATATTCTATAAACGCCGAGCAGGGAAAAAAAAAAAAAAAATTGATAGTGGTTTCTGGGAACAGAAAGACAGTAAACACAATTCATTTATATTGAAAGGGTTGTTACAGAGGCACTGTCATTTCTAATTTCTTCAACACAGTCGGTTTCTACATCCAGTCATTAAAATGAATAAAGAAGCCCAGTAACGTTTTTGTTTTTTTCAAGGGCATCAAAAAAAATTCCCGGCTCTTCCTACAAAAATTTGAACAGAGTAACATATAGACAGTCAGGACAAACCCCTTTAAAACAAGGTAGAACAGTGAGGAGGAAAGCCAACAGCCGCTACACAACATAACTAATGCCAACATTAGTTGAACATTTTACATTTCAGGAGCATCTAGTTAACTTTAGTGTGTTTGTACACATCAACAACAACAGGGTTGCATCTGTGATCCAGTTTTTACAGCCACCGAAAAGCATTTAACAAATAATTTGAAATCCATTTCTTAAAAAGGTGATCTTCTACATGAAGCAAAAATTAAATGCCGCTTGCATTTGACCCAACAATAAGCATGATTCATCTTTAAATTTCCTGTTGTAAAAAAATGACATTACATTTGATTTCAGATGTGATCACACACACACACACCTTTAGTATTGAATAGGACCACGACTCTGCTGGGACCTTTCTCTCATTAGTAGCGGGTACAGAATTAGTAGCACAAAATGAGAAGAACTCGAATGCCGAAAAGCTACACAGTTCTGTATGCGTGTCCTTCAGTGAACTGTCCGTACGGAGTAGAGGCCAACACTGCGCTTGTTTGCGGGTCAACGGGATTGACGGCCAACAGTCAAAAATATTTCCCTCTGCAGCAATACCCAAAAAAAAAATACCTGCGACCTTTCAGATAAAAAGAGACGTGTGCATTTTTAATTCAGTTATTGCCATAGTACCAAGACCTGTTGTCCAAAATCGTGAATTAGTCCTTCCCCTTTTGTCTGGGTTCGTAAATGGTACAGTAGATTAAAAAAATATAAAAATCCATTATCGAGCTCTGGTGACGAGCTGGCGAGAGCAAAATAAAGTTTGGTTGTGATTAAGCAACGCTGTTTTCAGCCGACAGTACTGTTGAGCTCTAACGTGTGACATTACTGAGCTGCAGGCTGCTGTTTTCTCGTCCGTAGGGTCTCCGTGGGGAGCGCGGGGTCAGACGGTCAGGCGGTTGTTGGAAGGCTGTAGGGGGCTCCAGGAAGCCGGGTGGTTGGATGCATCCTGGGAGAACTGGCTATCGTCTTTGCTCGTCCCCACCGTACATAGGCGGCGGTGTCTCAGCAGCCGGTCCGTCCGCGAGAAGTTCTGGAGGCAAACAAAAGACGCACGTTTCAGTGACGGGAATGGACGGATCCACTGATGCTGCAGGAAACCCGAAAGTACAAAATGGGGACGGAAAGCGCGCGAGCGGTGCGGAAACAGCGGTCCGCTCACCTGATGGCAGCGATCGCACTGGTACGGCTTCTCCCCGCTGTGCACCCGCTTGTGTCGGTCCAGGTGGTAGCGCTGAATAAAACGCATGTCGCACGCATCACAAGCAAATGGTTTCTCCCCTGTGAACAAGACCAGGAGACCGTTTAGCGCGTGATACATATATACAGTATATAAATATATACACACACACACATCGTGGCCAAAAGCTGCACACACATGCAGAAAACCCAACATTGCTCCTCTGTAGCTGTGACTACTGTGTGTGACTGGTTTGAATGATAGCTGATGATGGGCGGCTGTCTATGGCTCATGGTTTTATATGAATAGAAGAACGACAACACGTAGTTTGAAAGCGCTTTGACAGGTCAGAAGACTAGAAAGAAGCTATACAAGCACAGTCCATTTACTATATAACGAATTACAAACATGAATACTATATAGTACTTGAGTTCTTGATATTATTGAAGGAGGTTTAAGACTTTTTTTGTAGTTCAACCAAAGTAGATGGAACTTAAGTGGAGTGACTGGCTGACATGTGGACTCCCTACTCATGAAAACTACATAAGTCGAAGATACGAGCCGTGAATTCTTTACCTGTATGAGTAAGAATGTGTCGCTTGAGGTGGTAACTACTCCGGAAAGCTCCATAGCAGTGGTCACAGATGAAGTTCTTCTGGATTTTCAAAGAACTGTCATCGCTCATGTCGATTTGTGGAATTAAATGCTGAGGACAATAGAAAGAATTAGTTGAAAGAGCACGGATATGGATCACTGCACTGTAAGCATGCTTACAACTATCTTTACCTCCACTTTCACTTTGCTGGATGATTTCTTGTGCTTCTTCTTGGGTTGCATATTCTGGTTTGCCTGCATGTCCTTCCCATCCATCATTCTTGATGAGTGATAATCGCCGTCTTTTCGTATCAGCTTTTGAAGAAATAAATGATAGTAAGTAACGTATATTGCCCCAAGCTTGTAACTCAGCGGCAAACAAACGATTACATACAGCATAATACTTCAACTCCTTTTAGAAACTGAGACTAAGCGGTTCCTAGCGCTCTATAGCGGAGTTGTGAGCAAATATGATAGTATTTGTCATTAACTGTAACTTGATGTAAAAACAGATCATTCTTCAAGGGAGAAATGACAATTGTTGAAAAACATTGATAATATATATAAACACACATTTAATATTGACTATTTTAGTGTGTTATTACATATTCATTACGTGTTTTTAAAGTACTTATGAATGCTAAAAAACCTTATGTAGGTTAAATTCATATAGTTGAGTCCAACCACAGAACTGAAGCTACTTTCCTTAAGTCTGAGTTTTAGGTTTATAACTTTTTTGTTCATAAAAACAAAAGAATTAACGGAGTTAAAAATAACAGCATTAACAAGCGTATTGATTCTTCTCTGTCATACCAGGGGTGGACAGCTCCCAGCTGAAGGGTGGCCCATGTTGCTGTGGTGGGGTTGACCGTGGTGCACCTGGTGTCCGTGGTGGTTGTGGCTGTGCTGCGAGTGGGTTTGGTGGCTGTCGGGACTGGACCTGTGCCCTTGACCCAACTGTGACATCATCCTCTTCTGGCCTGGGATGTTGTTGGCTTGCATCAGGGCCATGCTGGACAGCACCGCCTCGCAGCCCAGCAACCCGGCCTGGCAACACAAACACCATGTCAGAGCAGAACGAGTGTGTGGGGGTGTTGGAGGGGGGCGCAGGACTCCTCACAGAGACAAGGAGTCACGGGAATGAGAGGCAGTCGAGTAATGGGAGTTTAGTAATGGAAGTAACAGGGAAATGCACTGGCATTAGGATTGGGAATACAAACTAAAAACATGATGGTGAAGAGACTTCCACTGACCCATTTCATATGGTCTCGAACAGAGTTGTTAGAATGGTGTGTCATCGTCGTGGTTTGAATGCGTGTGTGTTTGTGGGAACAGAAGGGGGCTTCACTTAGGATGAGGGGTAACAGAAGAGACCACACCCACCCAAATCATCTGGGGCCAAAGCCTGAAAGTAGAGGCATGACAAGATAAGCCTAACATTCTTACATGCTGCAATGAGGAGCTGGACATCCAGACTGCTTTAATAAATCTCACCCATCTCCAAATCTGGATGTATGATCTGGATGTACAAATTTGGGTCCAGCGGTCATTTTTGCAGTTTTCTGCAAGAAAGCCCAAATGGTTGGGTGCATGCATGTTTCCATGGTTGACAGAAAGCAAAAGAAACGGATTGAGGAAAGCTATGACATCCAATGGGAAGAGGGAAACGGTCACAAATGAAATGTAGAAATTAAGTCAAAACTGAAATATATAAAAGAAGCTGTAGTTTGAATGCGCAACACAATTTGATCTACCTTATTGTAAATTATCGTCATTTTAAAATGAAACACAGGCAATGATCTAATGTGTTTTCTGTATTGTCGGGGAATAAAATCTGGCAGTGAAGTTGCAATTTTTAAAAACGTGCATTTATTTTGACTGATATTGCAATTGCCCTATGAATCGGGGATGACTCTGTAGCACGACCATTTCTGATTTGAAATGGTATTTAAACATACGTTCATGCTCAAACTAATCCTCCCGCAAAAACAAAAACAGCCAAAAGTCCATACAACGATTGTGATGAATAGAAATAAATCACTCAATGACCTGTGGTGCAATTCAAAAGCATTGTCTATTAATGGTGAAATACCAGAAGCGGATATTATAACGTTAAAAAAAATTAAAAGAGGAAGACATTGTGAGAATATTTGTAAAACACAGTAAACATTCGTACGGATTTTTTTCTCATTATCCATATTTTACCCCTTATTCTGAAGTAAAAAAAATTCCATGACATCCAGTAGGTTGCCATTTATGTTGGACTTTACTTATTTAAACAGCCAGAGGACTGTATGAATAAAGTACCTTAGAAAGTGTAATTTCTTGAGACTAAACGAGGGAATAAAACATATTCATTACTTGCTGCATACTTGAGTATGTGGGACAGCAATTGTAATGCTGCTTTAGCAAACTTTAGATGTGGAAAAATAACAGCTATAAACGTTTCTTGACAAAATGTGGAACTTGTGGTTCGATGCGAGAAGAAAACTACAGTAGAAAACCATTAAAACATCAAGCACATAAAAGGACTAAAATGGCAAGAAGCGTTTTGGCCTTTAAAGTTAAAGAGAATTGCCATTAACACGACGGGGAATAGTAAAGTAATTTCCACTGGGGAGCTCTAGATTTTAAATATGAATTCACAATTAACAGAAAACCACAATGCTCATCGACTAATGTGCCATTAGGTGCTTTTTAATTGTTGTATTAAAATGTACGTCACGTGCGTTGCGAATGAAGATGTAGCAGATGAACATCTACAGTCCATCCACAAAACCGTTAATAGTAAACAAACACCACCGGCCTGGTACGTACTGCACGGGGACATTTTTTCTCTTTAACCGAGTTAAATGCGTAAGTAGAACACGTTTCGGTGGAGAGTCATGCTCGTTTGTAACAGTGTGGTTTACGGTCACGCTGGGGGGAAAAAACAAAACACACGATGGCCGTTTGTATAAAATGGTGCATTTGTGCACAAGTGAGCTAACTTAGCTAGCGACTTAAGCTCTAAAAACGTTGGTTCCTTCGAGTTTTTGTTGGGGGGGGGGGGGGAGAAGCGGTTCCTCTCAACAAACGAGCCGTAATAATGAAGCGGGACGACGCGGGGAGCACGCTGAGGAAGGCGGCGGTAAGACAATGGGCTGAAAACGGCGAAGCGTGCGAGGAGCCCCCGCTGAATGGAACGGGAAAGGGCTAACCTGCTAGCTAGCCGGGAGTTGGGTTTCGGTACAACTCTTGTGCGACAGAACCCCGCACCCGCGCACCGGGCAACACAACAACAGCCAGCCAGCCGGCCGGGCGGGCAGGCAGGCGGGCGGGCGGGCAGGGCGTGCGGTGCAGGCTCAACGCCGACCGCCAAATAACACCTCCGTCAACGGCCACGGCGGTTAGAAAACAAGACGCGTAGCCGATCATCAGATGTTGCGGCGAACCGGGGAGGTATGTTTTTTTGGGGGGAAAAGCGAACACTTACCTTTGGATTTTTGGAGTTTTGTAGATTATTATTTTTTTGTCGCACTTCCAATTTTTCCTCAGTTTACAAACACTGACAGGAAACGCCACCGGAAGTGCTCCCCGGAGCGCGCGGGGATTGGCCAGAGGCCTTGTCACGTGACCGAAGCTCTACGACACACATATGCGGCCATAACTGTGAGGGAGCGAGCCCGTGGGTGAAATGAGTGATGGCGAAACGTCATGATTTATGGCTTTCCTTTGGGGCCGGGGACATAAACTCTTGTTGTAGCAAACAAAGGGTTTTCTTTTACAACGTTAGTCTTATTAAAAATCAATAGTTGTGTTGCTATCCAAGTGAAATGACTATTTACCACATACTTCACTACATTTGTTGGTCCAGTCACATTATAAAGTCATGTTAAAATCAGATGTTATACTGCAGTATATTTGGTCCTTTTGTTTTGTAAACTACCATGCATATAACTTAAATAAGCATCAAATAGATGCTACAAGTTTGTATGAGGCTTAAAGCTCCATGTCCACAGTGGATCATCTCCTGATGAATTTACACCTTCAGTGAGGCGGGTGAGGGCTGTTAAACATTAAATCCCTGATGTTGTACCAATGCCACATTGAACCTGTAATGTTTTGAATGTGAAGAGACGAGAGAATGGACTGGGATGAATTGAACCGTGGGCATAATGGGATAATGGGGTACTTAAGGAAGGCAGGTGTGTGTGTTTATATGGCTAATCTAGGTTATGCAACTATGCACAGACTACAGTATGCCATCTGTTGGTTTGGACACAAGGGATCTGGTTGCTGAGGTTTCTATACAAATAATATTTAAACCTACCTTTCTGTTTATTTAACACAGTGGACTTCTTTACAAGTACTTTCACTTTCATTTACCAGTGGCTATCCAGTTCAAAACATTGGTGCTCACCCACCATGCTGTGAATGGATCGGGTCCTGTCTACATGCAGGACATGGTCAAACCCTACATCCCGACCCGCACTCTCCGCTCTGCATCTGCCAAACTGCTTGTTCCTCCCTCACTGAGAACGAAAACACTCGACTAGATCACGACTCTTTGCTGTCCCCGCTCCAAAATGGTGGAACAAGCTTTCTGATGACATCAGGACCGCAGAGAGTCCTCACATCTTCCGTCGCAAACTAAAGACACACCTCTTCAGATTGTACCTCGACTAAAAGACTAACAAATTGTAGCACATGAAATTGTTCTTGTAGTGGCTCTTATCTATAGCAATTGTTGTAAATAGGCTTATTTAATGAAATTGCACGTTGTTTCTTGTTCTTTTGAGTTTGTATCCTTATGGTTGAAATGCACTTATTGTAAGTCGCTTTGGATAAAAGTGTCAGCTAAATGACATGTAATGGTATTTTTATTCATGTAAAATACTCTATTCCTCTTTCCACCTCGCCGTACGTTAAGAGAATATCTTTGAGGAGTATAAGACTGTTGTTTAGACAAACTAAAACATTTCAAGACACCACACTAAGTGGAAAAAGAATATTCTTGTTTTTTTTAACTTATTTAGGACACAGAACATCCATAAAAATAATTGGTCGTTGCAGGCAAAGAGCTGTAGCAGCAAATAAGGTTTTTTCCAAAAAGTTAAGTCTCAAAACACTTTCTCAACCAAGTACACAAATAAGTTGAATTCAGCTCAAATAAAGTCCCGAATGTTTGTTTCTTGATTGATTCTTGTTTATTCATACATTCTGTTCCATGAACAAGATTTCTGGATGTAGTACCTCTCCCTATATCATTATTACATCAATCAAATCCTACAAGTTGAATACAGTTTGGATGCTTAAAACAATTTTAGTAACTATTAAGATAAACTTTGTGCTTAACCTTGCATTCTAGATAAGGATCCAGATCTTGTAGGTTAGGGTTTCGTTCACAGATCATTTCCCAGTCTTTCAATTTCATCAATGACGAAGTCCATGTCTTTCTGGGAAAGCACCGGAGAGAAAACAACCAGGCGGAAAAAGTTGACCTTGTTTCCCAAAGGTTGGTAGCCCACCATCATAGTGCCTTGCTTCATCATGCGCTCCTTGATGACTGGAGCTACCTTTTATCAAGAAATAAAAAAAGAAAGACACACACTTAACAAGTACCAAGCATGCAGATTATAAATGGAGTGTGTGCAGCTGAAAACAAAGAGGTCCATATATATATATATATATATATATATATATATATATGGACCTCTTTGTTTGTTATATATATATAAATAAATAAATAAATAACACTTACTTTAGCCAGCCTGTCCTGGTAATCTGCATTTCCTTCCTTCCCTCTCAAACTTGGTGGTATGAACCAGAAGCAGATATTCACAAAGTCCGGCTGTCCAGGGACACAAACAAACACAGGTGCTTGACATTTCAAGGACAAAACAACTGTCTCTTTCAGTATTGTTGAGATATTTGCATACCTCCTGCAAAAGACAAAACCCCTCTCTTTTCTTGATTTGGTCCACCAGATATCTGCAGGAGATAAGTTATAATGCCTTTTCAGTTTCAAGTTGAGGAAAATGGGTTATTAGATGTTATAAAAAGTGTACAAGTATCTTAACCTACACTGCAACATAAACCCAATTTATCCTTATTTGTATATGTTATATAAAGTAAATTACAACTCTTTGAAAAATCTTTTTTAAAAAAGGTATATGCAAGCTTATGCCTCGTATGGGTGACATCAGTTTTTACGGTTGGTCTTAACCTACGGGCTCGTGTTGTGCTACAGCTGCATGCCTACCCTGCATGGCTAAACGCTTTGTCCACGCGATCAGCAAAGCCATTGGAGCCGACAGCTTTCCACATCAACCAGAATTTCAGGCAGTCAACCTTGCGGCTGCACTGCACCGACTTATCTCCTACATCAAACTTCACATCATAGAATTTATCTTGCTGGAAGAGGTATGTGGCGTTGGCACTGTGGCAATTCCTCAGCAAGTTCTGGGGACAAGCAGAATGATTGATTATCAGAGATTTTTTTTTCAAACATAGACCTTTATTTTGAGTGTCAGATAATGCTGGCGCCTCGAACCATGGTATCCTGTAGTAGCAGGGCAGAACACTGGAGGCCGGTGGCCAGCATCTTGTGTGGATTCCAGGCTACTGAATTTGCTCTGATCACAGACACATACCCAACTGTCTAGGTCTTATCATGTACAGGCAAAATGTTGCCTTCCTCATTATGGAACAATCATTTGTCATGCATATACCTGTTAACCCCTTGCATCAGATGTGCGTGTTGCTTGGAAAAGAGCACGCTCCCTCCCCAGGCCGCCTGAAACAAACAACAAAACAGGACTCTGTGTGTTCATAAACACACATATGAACATATTCATCTTTGAGTGGATGACTCACGTCCACGTGCATCCAGAGCTTGTGCTTCTCACAGACATCCGCTATGAGGTCCAGTGGGTCAAACGCACCTCGCACCGTGGTTCCACATGTGCAGCTTACCAGGAATGGCACTGCACCCTGGGAGACAAGACGATCATGAACAAACCGTCCATGCACTGCTTTCTTTCTGAGTCTTATGTGACAACTGGATGATCACATCCAACACAAGTGGCCGTGAAACACGTCATTAGTTACTAATCTTCGGTGAATTTACCTGAGATTTTGCAAGTTTTATCTTTTCATCCAGGTCGACTGGATCCATACGGCCTCTGAAGTGAACATGGAGAAGTCAGTATTTTGACTGTAAATAATCACAAGATTCAGAATGAAGAGGGCTGCTAGTAACAATTATCATTGAGCATAGATTTTTGAATAACCATCATGGATTAGGGAGCGTTTATATTGCTTACAGCTCAAAACATGTTGTTTCGCTGAGCCAGCGGCTTGCAGATTATGGTACAAGCAGTAATTGAAGCAAGCTAGCTGGTTTCCCTCAACATGGCGGTTAATAACGACGGGCTGAGAAATGTGCATGCAGGTTCAAATTAAACTTTGTGGATAGGAGATGGAAATTGGAGGTGCAATATATATTATTATGCATCAATGGTTGGGCTTTCAAATCATGGACTTGTAAATATCAAGTGAATATTCACACATATATCGTCTGTATATTTAAAAATAGCTAAGAGTTTTTTGTTGCTATATTGCCTTTTAAAACACTTTATTATAGTAGATCAATGGATAGATTTTTATTTTTAAATGTATCTTTTAAAAAAAACACATTACCCATCATCCACTTTGACGAAGATGACATTGTCCGTCCCAATTCCAAGAAAGGCAGCCGCTTTCTTCACAGAGTAATGGCTCTAAAAAAAAAAAAAAAAACATTTATTGATGATCTTCCTTGCTCCTCACACTTGAGACCTGGAAATGCCTAAACTACATCTTGATGAGAGGAGGCTTGGTGGCAGGAGGTACACTATGAAAGAAGTGGAAAATAATCAAGGCTGTACAAACTGAGGAATTAGAAAGTCCTATAAACTACAGTGCGGTCATCATTAAACATCCGACACGTCGGCAACCCCACAGACACGGTGTGATGACCGTTCCTCACCTCTGAAGATGTAAAGACGTTTAATCTTGGGAGACCAAACAGCCCCTGGCGTTTGACGTCTGGTAACAGTTGGTAACGTGCGAGATTCATGGCGTACATATTGGAGACCGAACCCCCCGGACAGAAAATACCGTCACCTTCTGTCCAGCCAACCAGCTGCCGCATTCCTCTCAGAACCTCATTCTCCATCAGCACAAACACTGGGGCCACCTCATAGGTGTAGCTGCCATTGACACAGAAATGGTATGTTTTATTATATACTACTGCATTATATATTCTGCATTATATAATCACACACACACACACACACACACACAGGAAGTAATTTAGTACATTTCCTCAAGCATGACATTTATTCCTGCTTTTATTTGATCAGAGTTGTTGAGCTTGGGGGGGGGGGGTTCTCCTGGTTCTGTGCCAGGGAATTGTTGCATTTAATTGTTCCTTCAAAGTCTAGCACAGTGAATGTACTGTATGGCATAGTTTGTCTAACATTTAATAGACTTTTTCATCCACAACAATGATGAGCTTAAACACTTTAGTTTTACATCGCGTTGATTCTTACAGGTTAGTGTTGAGCGCCTCAGTGAGGAATCGGCCAGCAAGCGCATGATAGTCCACTCCTGCAAACAGCTGATTAAAGAAACGTGGGTGACCTGAAGAGAAACCACAGCAATCTTATCATGAAGGTCATAATGCGATACATTGATATGTGACTGTCGATCTGCAGTACAAAGTGCAGAGTCTTCGGCTGCACCCACACACCTACGTTGAGTATGTTTTCATAAGCGTCCACATTACGCCGGCGTTTGAGCACCGAAGACGGATCAGTTTGTAACCCAGGGATTAATCTTTTGAGGGGACGACTCAGAAACGGGATACATTTAGAAATGATCACGTCGGCCCAATCCCAATCTCCACCCTAAACCCTGAACCCTCAGGGACTAAACTGAAGACACCTGGTAAGTGGTTGAGTGTGACAGTCTGTGAGGGCTTTAAGTTGTATAAATGTCAATGGGACACTTTTGCAGCCACACGTCAGCTCACCCAGACGACATTAAAAAAAATGATGATTTACATTTGAGGGTATTTATTCAATACTGTTTAGTCTGGGTGATATGAACATCTTTCAGTCTCTTTCTTCACAAAATGTTTGTCTAAATTATGTTTTATGAATAGACGAAAATCGATGATATCATGTGTTTGATATCATGTGTTTTTTTCTTTCTTCATCTCCGGAAAGGGTTCATAAAGGGCTAAAAAAAAAATGTCTGCCTGAAAAGCTCTCAAACACTCAACTATTTGTCAATGGGACCTAAACTAATCCCTGTCGGAGTCAGCGGGAGCGCGCCTCAAAGTCCATGAGTGCACAAGGCTGCGGATCGGGAGTGGGCGGTCCACATCCTCGTTCCCTACTTGATTGGTTCTTAGCGGTCATGACGTGTACGTCCCTGATAAGTCACAATCCTAGTCGAGGAAGAAAAAAAATAGCCAGGATTAGCTAATAGTGATTCAACATGGATAACGCATGTGAAGCATTATTTGTTTTGCGGTCTACACTAGCGGCTGTTGTGTAGTTGAACTCAGCATTTTACTCATTATATAATCGACGAGTTTACCAATACACAGCACATACAAATACATATAGTACATCATCTTCTTCCAGTGTACACCGTAAAACACAACGGGGGGGGGGGGTATTGTGGATGCAGCCTTACTTGTCTTGATGCTGTACTTAGCAACATCTTTAACCCTCTGCAGGAGCCGTTCTCGTGGCTCCCCCGTTGCCCTCAGCTCCAGATCCAGCAGCAGAGAGAGCTCCTCCGGCTCTTTCCACTCACACACCTGCCAGAAGAACGCAGGAGTTATGCATTCTGCTGAGTACTCCCTGTAAACCGCACACCGATGTGATTTTAGACACCACGAAACCTTTTGCTTGATGTCTGTTCCCTTGCAGAGCACCTCCTCCATAATAATTTTAAAGGCATCGTTCAAGAAGAGTTGGCCCTCTGCGTGGTCAACAAGAGGTTCATTCAGGTCCCGGAGAATGCGAGATTCCTGTCCTTCAACTGTTGTAGAGTTAGATAGTAGAGTTAAACGCATGAACAAACACTTCCAGATGTTACAAAAATAGACAACTGAAGCACACGGTACTTACATGAGTCTGGGAACATGTTTGCCATCTTGTCAGCCAAAGTGCTGTGCAGAGAAAGCTTAGGACGGATGAGTTTTTGTAGTAGGGGGAAGGAGTTGACCTTAGACCCCAATGAGGTGGAAAAAAAAGAGGAGGAGGAATGTAGTCAAGGAACAAAGTCACTGAGTTGCTATCCCAGACCTGAGTTTAAATCAATCATTTTAATTTGGGTTCATTTAAAAGGCCCATATTTTACATTTGGCACATGGCACCTGAACTCGTCTGACTTCTAAACATCTGCCCATTCACAGAAAGCTGCATATCCCATTACACACTTAGGCCTGTGAAATGCAATGACACCGGACACAACACTATCTTCGGCGGTCTTTATTTTTAGACTCTGCTGCGTCCATACCAAAAGCGAAGCGAATTAATTGCGCGACTAGATTCCACGCAAAGTGCACGCTGCTGGTCCGCCTGAAGCAGCGCTGGAAGCGGCGGTCATCCGGGCGCTTCCATGGAGTCGCCGCTGACATTGTGCGGCGACGGATGATGTCATGAACCCAAACACAACGCCGTTTGCGGATCCGACGTTTTGTGTAATTCACACAACAAATAAAAAAGGGCCGCAATAGTGGTTATTTATTTCCAGCAGAAATGATTATAACGGCCTTTGCGGGGACAAGTAACGGGGATAAGCCACGCCCCCTTACAGGAGAGCATGAAGGCGAATTAACTTTTAGTGTGAACGCAGCGAGTATTAAAGTAATTTGCGTGTGTTCAATGTTCAATTTTATGATTTGCTTGTGCATTTAAGAAAAGAACGTGCACATTCACTTACTTCACAAATACTTAAAATATTTCACAAAGTAACGGTTTTCTAAACTTATTAAGTGCATACTGTCATTAAACAATCAACTTCAGTGGCAACTCTCCTGCCAATGCGAAAAAGAACAGAAAACAGTCAACTCTTGAATTAAAACCACGAAAGATGACCGAATGCATTCAGATAGGATCTCAAAATGTCGAACGTCATCGGCCCTGAACGCTCTGCACACGATACCATCTACAAACATCGGACCAACCAAACAACACCGGCACGTTCAGCGTCAAACTAATGACTTTTCGACTTTTCTACATACAGTTAAATGTACATCTTTAAATATTATTGTATTGAATTGACATTCCTAATGTACATACTCACGGAAAACAACAGCTCCACAGGTCAGTCACGTGAAAAGAAGGAACGTCCCTTCCGGTTTCCATCTTCGCACTACGCGAGCTGTCTTAGGAGCACAGCGCCCTTCAGAGGCTTTAGTGGTAGACGTTATTTATCCCACAGCTACGCATACATCAAATGGTCGTTTAAAAAAAAGAAAGGAATGGGATTCATCCTCCTCTTCGAATGCACTAGTGAATAATCTTAAAAGAAGTGCACTGCTCAACCTGTAGACAGTGTGTTTATTTTAAGAAAGCGAAGCATTGGGAAGGTTTCCTGCAGTGCCGGTCGCTTCAGCAGTTCCAGCAGACCCCGTGCTGCTCCAGGACCCCTCTGGATGATGTGATCCAGCTGCTATCAGACCGCAAAAAGAAAGTGTGCATCTGCACTTTTCTACCAGCTTTGCCTTCTAGCTTCTAATGATAAATGATTTTAATGCAAGCGCAGATCAAATAGGAATTTACTGTCAAACCTAATCAATTGAATGTCAATCAATCTGTTCAACAGAACCGTTACCTTTAGCCCTCAAGTCAGTTAGGTATTTAGGTTCCCACAATGTGATCATGGTGTAATTCTTGGAAGCAATGGAACCTTGACCTCAGTTATGTGAATGATGACATGTTATCTTTATTGTATCTACAGCATTTTGTTGCCCAATAATGAATATCAACCCCTGTTGTTCATTGTTTGCAGTGGAAAATTTTCATAGGGCCATCAAATCAATTTCAGCAAAAATCCCAAATTGATTGAATGCAAAACAATGCAAGGTATTTCAATATTAGATTAGATTAGATTCAACTTTATTTTCATTGCACAGGGTACAAGTACTGAGGCAACAAAATGCAGTTTAACATCCAACCAGAGTGCAAAATAGCAAAAAGTGCAGAGTATGTGCATATGTAAACTGTAATAAGTGAATAAATAGATATGTACAGTAAGAAATAGTTGTGCAATATGAACAGTAAGAAATGGATATGTAATAACAGTGCAAATGTTCAGTGGCTGGAGGAAGGTGTGTGGCAGTCAAGCCAGGGTGGAGGGGGGGAAGTACAGTCACTGAGGGAGATGTGTGTGGGGGTGGGGGGCAGAGTTTAGAGTTCAGGGTGGGCAGAGTTCAGTAGGATGACAGCCGCAGGGATGAAGCTGTTCCTGAACCTGCTGGTCCGGGAACGGAGCACCCTGTAGCGACTCCCAGAGGGGAGGAGGGCAAACAGTCTGTGGCTGGGGTGAGAGCTGTCCTTTTCGACGCTGCGTGCCCTCCGCAGACATCTCTTGCTCTGGACAGCCTCGATGGTGGGGAGTGAGGAACCGGTGATGCGTAGGGCGGTTTTCACCACCCTCTGCAGTAATTTACGGTCCGCGACAGAGCAGCTGCCATACCATACTGAGATGCAGTTTGTAAGGATGCTCTCTATGGTACAGCGGTAGAAATTCTCTAGAATCTGAGGAGACCAGATGGGCCTTCTTCAGTCTCCTCAAGGAGAAGAGACGCTGGTGTGCTTACTTTACCAGGGATGAGGTGTTGAGGGTCCAAAAGAGGTCCTCAGAGATGTGGACACCCAGGAACTTGAAGCTGGCGACACCCTCAACCTCCGTCCCGTTGATATGGATGGGGACGTGTGTGCCAGTTTTCTTCCGGAAGTCCACAATTGAGGTGTTGAGGGCCAGGTTGTTGTCGGCGCACCATACCGCCAGGTGCTGGATCTCCTCTCTGTAGGCCGACTCATCGTTGTCCCTGATGAGGCCAATCACTGTTGTGTCGTATTGTTTTGCAGTTAAATATTTCATATTCAACCCAACATCTTTGTCACCCGCACAGGCAATTCAGTTTAATATAATACAGTATATATCCAATAATATTCTGTGTGATATAATATGTATTTTATATATGTCAGTTGTGTTGTCTGCCCGATTGGCAATACAATCCATGCTCTTTACTTTTTCCTCAATGTCCTTCGCCTGTCCATACCAGCCTTAAATAGAACATGCAAATTACAGTGCGGTCACACAATAAACATCTGACACGTCACCAACTCCACAGACCCTATGTGATACCCGTTCCTCACCTCTGAAGATGTAAAGACGTTTTATCTTCGGAGACCAAACATCCCCTAGCGTTTGACGTCTAGTAAAAGGTTCACGGCGTACATATTGGAGATATTAAAATGCCGTCATCTTCTGACCAGCCGACCAGCTGCCGCATTGCTCTCAGAACCTCAGTCTCCATCAGCACAAACACATGGGGCCACCTCATAGGTGAAGCTGCCATTGACACAGAAATAGAGTCAATAGTTTTATTTCATACGGCATTATTTGTTACTATTGCATTTATTTTGCATTTTATAACCACAAGCAAACAGACACCAGAAGCAGAGAGTAATTTAGTACATTTCCTCAAGCATTGTACTTAGTCCTATGAATCCAAGGAATCTGTGTCTGCAGGCCCTTTGAATATCTTGAGTACTGTGGATCCAACCTTTTTTTACTTACTGGCTCTTGTCAGAAAACTGTTTGGGTTGCACGAGTATCTCATGTGGCCTTTCGAAGTGTATAATGGGGCAGCAACATTTCAGGGACTAATGCAGGTAACAATGAGTGACTTGGTCCTGAAAATCATGCTATTTGGATGATATCTTGGTGTACTCACAATCTGTTGAAGACCATCACGGAAGGGGAAGGGGGGGGGGTTCTACAGACGCTGAAGCAACAGGGCTCAAAGTCAAGGTAGAGAAGTGTCACGTATGTTTCCTTGTCACCAGATATCAGCCGAGGGCATTAGGACCAACCCAGAGAAGATAGCTGAAGTGCAACTGTGGAAAGTTCCCAACGTTGTAAAGGACTTAAGATCACTCTTGGGCTTCTGTAGTTTTTATGGCAGGGTCATAAAGGGGTTCTCTAATTTGACAGGCCCACTACACAACGTGGTTGATGCATGCCTCAGAAACAACAGTTCATCCAGGTCTAAACAGCTGTTTGGAAGTTTATGAAGTGCAGAGTGTCAGGAAGCTTTTGAGCTGTTGAAAGAGAAACTCACCAGTCCTCCTTTGTTAGGTTACACAGATTTCTCTCTTCCCTTCACTTGTTGAGACAGATCCCAGTAGTTTGGGATTAGGTACAATAACTACAGCAGTATGAAACTCGCTGTTTGCCCTTAAGTGGGCGATGATCGGTGTTCATGTGGGTGAATGTCACCAGCTCCTGTTACCCAACTGTTTGAGAGAACCAGTCCTTGAGAGTGTGCATGATCAGATGGGGCATCAAGGAGTGAAAAAAACACAAAGTCTTCTGAGAGGGAGGTGTTTCTGAGTGGGAATGTATGAAAAGGTCCAACAATGGGTCAAAAAATGTCAGGGATGTGTCCTTACCAAGATGCCTCAGCTCAGGAAACAACAACACACCTCATCATCCTCAGGGAAGGATCGGCATTTTGAGACCATCGTGAATATTATGTATTCTGTTATCTTTCATTCATGGTTTGGCTTTCAGAGTTAACTGTGTGGTATTGTTTGTTTTCTTTACCAGTGAACCCATTTGTGTAATGACAATATGCACTTAGTTGATTTCTAATACTGCTCTCTCCTTGAAAAGTATTCAAGAAATAAAGACCCCTCATTAAATAAAGCATTGTGTCCGGTGTCATTAAATCTCCCCCACCCGCATACAAGTGAATGCTCTAATAATGTTTTTTTTTCCACAAAAGCTCAAATTCATCCGAGGGTGCAGATATTTCTCTTATTTGTTTAGACCCGTTGATAGTTTCAGCACCCATATTTAAAATTAAGCCAAGTGGACCAATGATTATCCTGAGTATTCAAGTTAAGACTGAAAGAGAGACATCTTTTATTTAGATTGTAATGTGATCCTGGATAGTTTAATGAATTATTATGCATTTTTATTGTTAGGATATATTTTGTGAGTACATTATGAATCTGCAACTTTACCAGTAACATTTTTCTGTCAGGTAAATGTAGCCCTTCCTCCAAAGCCTAGTTGCATTAACTTCTGTATGGCATTGTTTGTATAACATTTAACAGACTTTTCCATCCACAATAATGATGAGTTGATATTCTTTAGTTGTACATTGCGTTGTTTCTTACAGGTTAGTGTTGAGAGCCTCAGTGAGAAATCGGCCAGCAAGCGCATGATAGTGCACTCCTGCAAACAGCTGATTAAAGAAACGTGGGTGACTTAAAAGAAACCAGAGCAATCTTATCATGAAAGTCATAATGTGATATATTGATAAGTTACTGTCGCACAAGGTCTAAGGGTACACTCGCACAACTACATTTTCTTTTAAAACGCATGTTTTTCTACGTTTTAAGTTATCACACCATGCCGGCGTTTTTAGTAGTTAAGATGCGACGGGAGACGCATGTTAGTGACGTCTGTGTGCAGCGGTGAAACTTCATTTTCTCAGAAGATGGACTAAAAAGAAGCTCTTCTCAGATGCCCTTGTCCATGTCTTGTTACATTGCTGTGTCACGCAGACAACATAAAACAACAAGGTTCAAAGTATTACTTTATTTTTGAGGTTGCAACATAAATTAGTTGCTAACGGTTACTGACATGAGTTTCTTGGTCGTGACCCTTGTGATCGAGCACCCAGAGCATGTCTTTGTTATGTGGGAGGAAGCCGGAGTACACGGAGGAAACCCAGGCAGGCACACGGACAACATGCAGACTCCTCACAGAAAGACTGCTGGGTGGAATCGAGCACATGATCTTCTTGCTGTGAGGCGACAGTGCTCACAATGATGAGAACTTTGGCCTTCAGAACTGCTTTAATTCTTCGTGCCATGTGGTGACTGTAGATGCCATGAGTACAGCGAACTCATTGTCAAGTCCAAGAAACCAGTGTAAGATGATGTGAGCTTTGTGACCATGGTGCATTATCCTGCTGAAGTAGCTTTCAGAAGACGGTGGTCATAAAAGGGAATGGACATGGTCAGCAACAATACTCTGCAGCATTTGAACGACGCTCAATTGGTACTAAGTGGCCCAAAGTGTGCAGAGAAAATATCCCCCACGCCATCACACCACCACCACCACCACCACCATCCTGAGCCGTTGATACAGGGCAGGATGCATCAAAGCTTTTATGTTATTTACACCAAATTCTGACCCTGACATTTGAATGTTGCAGCTGTTATGTTATCAGACCGTTCTGATGCTCGGTTTGAACTTGAGCAAGTTGTCTTGACCACGTCTACGTACCTAAATGCATTGAGTTGCGGCCATGTGATAACAAGCAATTGAACAGGTGTACCTAATCAAGTGGCTGGTCAGTGTTTAAATATATATATTCTTTTATTAATATTTTTTACTGACTATTTAGGACTCAAAACAAAATTGGTACATGCAGGCAAAAAAACTATAGAATAAAGGTTTTCCAAAAAAGTTTTAAAGTTTCAAAACACTTTTACAACAAAGTCCACAAATAAGTTGAATTCAGCTCAAATTAAGTCCTGATAATTTTATTCTTGACATTTATGAAGCCAAATGACCCGGTCTTTGTTTATTCATATATTCATATATATTCATATTTGTTTCATGAACCAGATTTCTGGGTAAAGTACCTCTCCTTATATCGTCACAGCTGTGTTACATCGATCAAATCCTACAAGTTGAATACAGTTTGGATGCTTTATACAATTTGAGGAACTATTGCATTCTAGATAAGGATCCAGATCTTGTAGGTTAGGGTTTCGTTCACAGATCATTTCACAGTCTTTCAATTTCATCAATGACGAAGTCCATGTCTTTCTGGGAAAGCACCGGAGAGAAAACAACCAGGCGGAAAAAGTTGCCCTTGTTTCCCAAAGGTTGGTAGCCCACCATCATAGTGCCTTGCTTCATCATGCGCTCCTTGATGACTGGAGCTACCTTTTATCAAGAAATAATAAAAGAAAGACACACACTTATCCTTATTTGTATTTGTTATGAAAAGTGAAAAACATCGCGATTAATGGCGATTAATGAATGTTGTTGTTGTTTATAATGAATGAAGTAATCACTTCAGAAAGCGTGTATTTACGACACTTTCATTGTTAATGTCATTTTAAACACAAAAATACACACATTTGATCATCTTAGAGGCAGAATTCCAATGGGTCAAACATGTTGCACTAGCAACTCTTCCTGGGGCCTGTTTCAATAAGGAGGTTCAACCAACTCTGAGTTAAAACTTGAACTCTGAGTTGACTTACCCTGAGATGGGAAACTCTGAGTTTTCGGTTACAGAACAGCTGAAATGAGTTAGTTCAATCAACTCTGAGTTGACCTACTCTGAGTTAAGCGCGTGCACCACAAATATAAAAAGCCATTATCAATGGAGCGCAGATATTACGAGTCACCATGGCAACAGCGCCAGACAAAAAGAGGTCTTCATATTTTTCACCAGCAGAACTGGATGTGCTTATGAAAATAGCTGCTCGAGTCAATGCGTAAGTTTACATTTGAATTACTGTTATACAGTGTTGTGTGTAATTAATTTCTATGTAATCTAAAAACTGTAATTTAATTCCGTAATTTAAAGTAAAATCTGATGTAATTGCATTAAATGCTGCATAAACTATAAAGCAATTCTGTATAAAACAATAGTGGATTTAACATCAAATTTAAAAAGATATATTTTTTCAAGAATAATTCATGCAATTGTATAATGTTTATTTGAAAGCATTAAAAGTGCAGTTTCTTGTCTCTCCTTGTATTGTTCAAGTGGTTGAGGTTGATGTGGGATTTAGAAAGTAATTAGTAATAAGTAGACCAATACTTTCTAGAGATAGTCATTATTACATTAATCTAATTACACTGTTGAAGAAGCCAGTTGTAGTTAGTAATATAAGTGACTTGCCCAACTGTTATAATATCAGAAGTGAAACTGGAAGAACAGTGTGTTATTCAACCTAATTTTAATTTTCATGTAGGTGCAATCCTGCAGGCATTAAAAGAACATGGCAGCAGCTGAAAATGAAATATAAAAACATAATTCAATTTAGGAAATAAAGAACACCATATAAATTGCTGTGATTTTGTGTTTATTCATTTTTATTTTATTTTGTGGGTGGTTGGTTGTGGTGGTGGATATAATGTGTATTAATCTGTGAAGACATTTCGGCATATCATATCCCGGACTACCCTTCCCTCCTGGAAATCTGCCGGGTTGATGGGGTCTTCCTCTGGGTCTTGTATTTGTAGGGCAGGGTGTTGCTCCCCTCTAATTATGGCAATTACAGGATCGTCCATAAAAGGACATGCCATTTCATTCACTTGATTTGATGCGCTCTGCGTGACTGAAATGTGCGCAATGAATGAATACCGAAAGAATGAATGAGGTGATTAAATACCACTTCCTCTTTAAAAAAGGGGAGGAGACGAAATAAACTCTGGGTTTCCCGAAGAAAACCTGCTCCCGACCAGGTTAGGTTCACAGAGTAAGTTGCCATGGTAACTGACTCTGAGTATAAGTTACCTCTCTTTCTGAAACAGGCTTGACTTACTCTGCTTTCTCAGGTTTAACATACCTCCCATTCTGAAACAGAAAACTCAGAGTTTCCCTCATTTCAGGGTTAACATACTCAGAGTTTTCACTTAACCTCCTTTCTGAAACAGGCCCCTGCTGTCCTTGTGCACTTTGCTCTCAACTTAACGGCTGTGTTTGAAGGGCCAACAATCTCCCCACATTTAGCCAAAACTTTTTCAAACCACAGTCTTTTAGGGACACAGTGGTGGTCCTCTGCAGACTGTGTGCCGCGCAGGGTAACGTTAGATGTTGGGATGGAAGTAGCATAGCAGCTATCTTAGCATAGCGGTGTTTTAAGTGGTCCGTTTGACACTCATCCCCCTTCTGTTTGACACGTGGAGTAATTCCTCTGCACAGTTCTCTGCTGTATGTCGCACCACTGTTTGTTTTACTTCCAAAGCAAAAAGCTCTCCATCTTGATCTAACTTGACAGGCTGTTCCGTTTCTGCGGTCAACTTCCGGTTTACTTTGGAAGTAAACAAACGAACGTCAACTACGTTAAAATATTTTGTTGCATTAATCAAGGTCACATTAATCGCATAGATTAATGTGTTTACGTTGACAACCCTAAAAAGGGTATACGCTTTTAAACTAGCTTATGCCTTGTATGGGTGACATTGGTTTGAGTTTATGGTTGGTCTTAACCTACGGGCTCGTGTTGTGCTACAGCTGCATGCCTTCCCTGCATGGCTAAACGCTTTGTCCACGCGATCAGCAAAGCCATTGGAGCCGACCGCTTTCCACATCAACCAGAATTTCAGGCAGTCAACCTTGCGGCTGCACTGCACCGACTTATCTCCGACATCAAACTTCACATCATAGAATTTATCTTGCTGGAAGAGGTATGTGGCGTTGGCACTGTGGCAATTCCTCAGCAAGTTCTAAGGACAAGCAGAATGATTGATTATCAGAGATTTTTTTTTAAACATAGACCTTTATTTTGAGTGTCAGATAATGCTGGCGCCTCGAACCATGGTATCCTGTAGTAGCAGGGCAGAACACTGGAGGCCGGTGGCCAGCATCTTGTGTGGATTCCAGGCTACTGAATTTGCTCTGATCACAGACACATACCCAACTGTCTAGGTCTTATCATGTACAGGCAAAATGTTGCCTTCCTCATTATGGAACAATCATTTGTCATGCATATACCTGTTAACCCCTTTCATCAGATGTGCGTGTTGCTTGGAAAAGAGCACGCTCCCTCCCCAGGCCGCCTGAAACAAACAACAAAACAGGACTCTGTGTGTTCATAAACACACATATGAACATATTCATCTTTGAGTGGATGACTCACGTCCACGTGCATCCAGAGCTTGTGCTTCTCACAGACATCCGCTATGAGGTCCAGTGGGTCAAACGCACCTCGCACCGTGGTTCCACATGTGCAGCTTACCAGGAATGGCACTGCACCCTGGGAGACAAGACGATCATGAACAAACCGTTCATGCACTGCTTTCTTTCTGAGTCTTATGCGACAACTGGATGATCACATCCAACACAAGTGGCCGTGAAACACGTCATTAGTTACTAAACTTCAGTGAATTTACCTGAGATTTTGCAAGTTTTATCTTTTCATCCAGGTCGACTGGATCCATACGGCCTCTGAAGTGAACATGGAGAAGTCAGTATTTTGACTGTAAATAATCACAAGATTCAGAATGAAGAGGGCTGCTAGTAACAATTATCATTGAGCATAGATTTTAGAATAACCATCATGGATTAGGGAGCGTTTATATTGCTTACAGCTCAAAACATGTTGTTTCGCTGAGCCAGCGGCTTGCAGATTATGGTACAAGCAGTAATTGAAGCAAGCTAGCTGGTTTCCCTCAATATGGCTGTTAATAACGACGGGCTGAGAAATGTGCATGCAGGTTGAAATTAAACTTTGAGGATAGGAGATGGAAATTAGAGATACACACACATATCGTCGACTGCATAGTGAAATAGCCAATAGTTCTTTGATTACAGCGTTTAAAAAACTTCAGTATAGTAGATCAATGGATATATTTAAAAAATAGAAGAAAAAAAAATTGGTCTTTTAAAAAAACACATTACCCATCATCCACTTTGACGAAGATGACATTGTCCGTCCCAATTCCAAGAAAGGTTTTTACGTTTTACGTTTTTTTTGTCAAAATTATATTTCATGAAAAGATGAATAAATATCGTCTGATATCATTTTTTTTTCTCCATCTTCAATCCTTGATGTTTTAAATGTATACATTTAAATGCATGTACACATCTTTGTTTACCCGTCTTTATGGTCACATCGCAATGACTTGTGGATAATTCCCTTAGGCTAAATCAGCATCCATTGCTTTATCGACGAGTTTACCAATACGCATCACGTACCTATAGTCTATCATCTTCTTCCGGTGTACACGGTCACAAGCAAGCCCAGTGTACGGTGGATGCAGCCTTACTTGTCTTGATGGATAGGAGATGCAGGTCCCGGAGAATGCGAGATTCCTGTCCTTCAACGGTTGTAGAGTTAGATAGTAGAGTTAAACGCATGAACAAACACTTCCAGACGTCAAGAGTTATAATCAAAATAGACAACTAAAGCACACGGTACTTACATGAGTCTGGGAACATGTTTGCCATCTTGTCAGCTGATGTGCTGTGCAGAGAAAGCTTAGGATGGTTGAGTTTTTGTAGGAGGGGGAAGGAGTTGACCTTTGTCCCCAATGAGGCGGAAAAAAAGAGGAGGAGGAATGTAGTCAAGGAACAAAGCCACCGAGTTGCTATCCCAAGACAGACCTGAGTTTAATCAAACAAGTTCATTTGGGTACATTTAAAGGCCCATATTTAGATCAATATGGCACAAGGCAGAAACTTCTAAACATCTGCCCATTCACAGAAAGCTACATATCCCATCAAAAACTTAAAAAAAGAAAACCTAAAAAAGAAAGCAATAGGATTCATCCTCCTCTTCAAAGGCACTAGTGTACCATCTTAAAAAATGTGCTTTGCTCAGTTGTTTCCTTGACTGGAAGGAGACTAATCAGCAGTGACGGAATAAAATAACTGTTCTCTCAGCAAAGAACTTTTGTTAAAACAAAACTCTGTATTATTGCAACATGAAAAAAAGCAAAATATAAAACTGTTTGAGAAAAGTAGAAAAGGAAGCTCATTGACCGGAACCGAATATCTGAGCGCAAAGGCGTCACAATTGGCCAGACAAGCTCTACTCTAGTCACATGATTTGGTCTAGTGAAATTACAGTTTAAACATCAGGCTGAAAACATTTTATACATATTCTATACACAAGGAACCTTGAGCTAAAGGCCTCAGTGGTACCAAATTACACTGGGTTTATTCCATTCCAGTACAAACGTCTTCAAGTGTTGTTTTTCCTAATATGAGACCAGAGATACACACTCATTCGCAGGTAAGATATGGTTGCAGTACTAGAAAGTGAAGCTGTCAGTCACCCTCCAACAGTGGGGCAATGCTTTCGGGTGGCAGTCCACAGTGTTCCTGACTGAGCAGCCTGTGCAGGTGAGCAGCGGTGGCGTTCGTCTTCTGGCGCGTTCTCCAGAAGAGCAGCATTTGAAACACTCTGTCGATATGTTGCGTCTGGTCTATTTCAATCTGTTCCAGCTTCAAAGCGGGGATTTCCAGAGCGAGTATGCCGATCTTCTTCCAAGAGTTGCCGATGGCACAAGCAACCTCCATCAGCTGCTTCTCCTTAACTAAGCCAGGGCCTGTGAAATGAGACGGACACACGAGGTGAAGTTCTGCACGGTGCTTTGAAGGGAATAGTTTTGAATGTAGTGGGACTCACTTTTCTCACAGATCTGTTTGGATGGAACGGTATCTTCTGAGTTAGGAAGTCGTACACCTTCCAAAGACAACACATTATTTTCAACATGGGAAACTACCTGAATCACATAACAAGATTACTGAAAGTGCTGAACACACGTCGGCCAACCTGTAGACGGTGTGTTTATCTTCCCATCCTTAAGAAAGCGAAGCATTGGGAAGGTTTCCTGCAGTGCCGGTCCCTTCAGCAGTTCCAGCAGACCCCGTGCTTCTTCAGGACCCCTCTGGATGATGTGATCCAACAGGTCTGTCACTTTCTCACGAGGAACAGTGCGAGCTCTCACCTGCTGGTAGCCGCTATTGGACAGCAATGAGGAAGAGTCTGCATGCTGGAGGACGAAATCGGCATCTGCACTCAGAATTTCTATCAGCCTGGCCTTCAGGCCTCTGAGTTGTTGGATTTCGGCGGCTGGTTCCCCCGCCATGGCTGAATGTCACTTAAATAGAAAAATAAATTAATGATGAATTATTTTAATGCAAGTGCAGATCAAATAGGAATTTACTGTAAAACCAAAAGCAATTGAATCTATTCAACAGAACCCTTATCTTTAGTCCTCAGTTAGGTATTTGGGTTCCCACAATAAGATCATGGTGTACTTTAAGCAATGGAACCTTAACCTCAGTGGTGTGAATGATGACAGGTCATCTTTATTGTAAAGGGGAAAAAAGTTTCTGGTAAATTTCCAGAAAGTAAAGCTCTGGAACTTATTTTGCAAAAGCATATAACAGGTGACTTAAACGTTGAAAACAAGACTATGCAAACCTTGCTCAGCTGGACCCTGAATGCAGCAAGAAACGCGAACATAAAACGTAGTGTTGTTTTCGAGCGTCTTTGTCATTACTGAGCATATTGATAACTTGGTAGAATGAAGCAAAGTTCATTTTAATACAAAGTTTACTTGTATACAATTACTTTTTACAGCAGTGAAAGTAGGATGTATCCATGTCCACGCAACAGTACACCATCACCTCCCTTAACATTCAACGGTTTGAAAACGGGGCGATCATAGGAAATCCGCTATTTTATTCAACGTTCATGTTTTTGTTCTACTCACGAATGGATCAAGTCAAAATGTCATTTTAAAATTGTGTATTAGAAATGTATGCATGCATGTCTGCTTATGACAAAATGTTATCTGGTTTGTCATATATGTCAAGGTAAATGCAGCTAAATTACCCCGAAACCTGCAGTTAATTCCTGTATACTCCCATGGATAGTTGCCAACTCTGAATATTACCGGAATGTTGCAACCCTAATTCTATCTATTGAATTTTGTTGCCCAATAATGTGTATGTCCCCCCCCCTGTACATAGTACAGATGGTTTGTAAAAGTAAGTAACCCTGGAGATGACAAAGTTAAAAAATAAAAAACGTTACCGTATTTCTCATTTAAGTTAATGTATGGATAATAAAACTAATAGCGCATATACACAATTCTGAGAAAGAAAAGAAAAAATGTTTTGTATGTCAACGCAGTATTACGCAGGTAGTGAAAGTACATTACAACCCCTTAACGCGGCATTATTCCCGCGTCTGGACTTCCTGGTTTGCCGCGAGCTCCGCGCGCGAAGCTTCTTCCGACACCAGATGCGCTTCACGCTCACTCACACAAACTACATCCAGTCACATTCAGACTCTTACCACGTAGCAACAGCCGCAGTAAGGCGCTTTTTTCGGGGGCAAACAGACGGGCGGGCAACCGTTTCTCTCCGCCTGCCTGACCGCTTCAAACGCGTTCTCTTCTTTGCCTGTTTCCTTCCTTCCTGTGCATCGCTTCGCGTTAATGTCACCGTGCTTCCATCCAGCGGATGAACGAGTTCACTGCTGTTACAATCTGCAGGGGCTCCGAGGGATTAGGGACATCTGGTGGAATTGATCACGCTTTGCAAACGCTACCGAGAAAGGCCCTCACATATCTTAATCTTATTTTAATATATTTTCAGGACAAAATTCACACAATCTTTTGATAAAGATAATGAAGATATATGTATGTATGTATGTATGTATGTATGTATGTATGTATGTATGTATGTATGTATGTATGTATCTTATCTATCTATCTATCTATCTATCTATCTATCTATCTATCTATCTATCTATCTATCTATCTATCTATCTAATCTAATCTATTCCATCTATGTGTAATGTTGTTGATTTGGAATTAAATCACATTCCTGAGACAAAAACTCCCTTTTGCTGTTAATACCGATTTAAATTCCACTAAACTAACTGGCTTCTCTCCCTTTCAGAAATTCATGTTCATTCCAAGAAATCTGTTGTTGATCATACTCTGTTAGCAGAATGCTGTCAAATAAAATGAAAAAAACATTTGATTAATTTGTTTGAGCAGAAAAAAAGATTCACTGAATGACAATGAAACAGATGCGTGCGTGTTTACCGGAACGTGCACGTCCACGTGAATGATGAAGGACACACAGCACATGTGGGTTTATTGTAACATTTCCTCTCAAGGCCTCTGACTGTTACCGGTCAAACAATTATCAGCCACCACCGGTCACACGTGGGCTTAGCGTGTTTATTCAGCCTCAGTTCTGGGAAATGAGAAATCAATATCTTATTCCTGGACAGATATTTGCTTTGCGTGAGAGGAAAAGCCTCTGAAGCCCATTTCATCCACACACTGTATGCACTCTGAGTCACCGTGTGTATTAGTTGTCTGAATAAATTCAGTTTTCTCTTTTTGCCTACAGAGGGTGGAAAGAGTAAAGAGAAGCATCATTTGTTCTTATTGTTTATTCTCACCAGTTGACACTGTTAAAGAGGAATGCACCATCCATCCTTTATGTACTTTATAACAACTTTATTATGTGATAAATATGCCTTATTTTCATACGTGAACTTGAGAAGATACATCGTAAAGACAACACTGAAAGCTCAGGTGATCTACTGATCAAAGAAAATATACATGTATATATACTCCAAATGATGTATAATGTGCCTGTGAAATGTGCATTTAGTCATTTGACATTCAATCACCGCAGCAACAGTGGAGCATATTCTGTCCGGGATGGGAAAATTAACTCACTCTGCCACTGATCGAGTGCAATACCACTCATACCCTTGAGCTTTTCAGGCCCCGTCTCACTCTATGTCAAGTGGTAAACTCTATTTGTATGTGCATGCTGGTGCTGGATGGTATAATAGCGTGGACACTCCACAGTGCTGATAGAGTGTAGTGCTGTTTCCTCATGAGTGGCTCTGGATCTATTCTGCAGACCTCTGCACCTGGAAAATTGTACACAAAACGGGCACATAACTGAGGAGCAAGCCAGCGCAGCAGCTTATCCCTCCGTGCCGCGAGCGAGAAATTGGATTTATATGTAAAGTAACAGGAAAGGGAAATCAAACCTATTTGGTTCCACGTTTCTCTCGATAGCATCAAGCATTACTTTAACAATACACGTGTATGTGTATACAAAGAAAAACAACGTGCACATGAATTGAACTCCTTTCCAACATAAGAGAGACTTTTCTCCTTTGAATGAGTATCCACTCTACAAATCGCTTCAGAAGCAGCTGCTTGGTTATACTTCCTTGCCAATTAGAGATTGTCCATAACTATGTGATTTTTACAAATATACTCTCTTACGTACAGTACGTGCACGTATATTTGCTGTAATATTTGATGTGAACCCCAACTCTCTGGGTCAATGGAGCAGCAGCGCAGGGACGACCATGCATTTGAGTGACTCTGACATGGCTGTTTGTTTTACATGCATTATATATGAAGGACTAGAGTGAAAGGAGGGAAGAGCATGGCAGCAGAGCAGAGAGAGACCGGCACTGCAAGGAGACAGCCACTGGGAGGGCAAAGGGAAGCAGCTATTTACAGTGGAGTGGAAATGCACTGTGGATTGCTTCAGTTTCCTGCAGTGGAAGCTGCATGTTGTACTATGAAGGAAGACAAAGATAAAAAAGAGATATCAGTAAGGCTCAACTCACAGCGCCTAAGTAATTCCATCGACGAATATATTATCCTTACTTTTTGTGCAATTAAAGTTGTAACGTATGGTACGAAGGCATGATGGCCACCGATAACCACTCAGTATGTCATGTGCATTCGCTCAAATGAAATGTATAAGACGCTGTTGCTCATTATGGCAAAGGAAACAGTTTGCAGAGGACTTATAGGTTGAGCCTGCAATATAATAGGACCGCTGGTAGATATAAATAATGTTAGTGTGTGTGAGTGAATGTGCTTTTTGTTGAAAAAACAGAGTCTGACTGAAAGACACTTTCTCTGCATTAAAGAGCAGAGCAGCTGCAGGTGAAAATGGATGAGTGCAGGAGAAAAGGAAGACTTTACCTGTGTGTGTGTGTGTGTGTTTTGGTAGGTAAGCAGGAGACTGTGTGAGATCATCACAGTTGGAGTGAAAAGAGAAAAGTTGTGGGTGTGTGAGATCATCAAGTTGTACCTGCTGTAATTCAATAGCGTTGCCAGTCGGCGTTGTGTCGAGACCATTTTTAGAGGATGGAGGATCAAATCTCTGCAAAGGGGGATTCGGGATGATCACATGGAATGCAAAAGAACAAAGAGAACGTTAGAGGGGATGGAGCAGACTGACGATGATCTACTGCAGCACGAGTCAACCCCTAGAGGGAGCTCCTATCATTCCAAACCATTCTTTTGTGCTTTTAGCGGGTTCCCTCTCTCAGCTCCTCATACTTATAACTTCGGCCATAAAGTTTATACCTATGGAATCTCCGTTTTTGGTCGTGAGACAACTACGTCAAAACTCAGGTTTTGTGAGCTCCAGAAAGAAATCCCACGGCAGAGTTAACCCCACCTTTGCTGGCTTTGGCTTTGATTTGGTCTTGACTCTTCTAAACTCTGTTGCCTCTATGTGAGAACTAAGGGGACTCTGCAAAAACACGGTTTTAGGTTTTCTGAGGACATCACACCCACTCGTCACACCTACTCGCTTCAACTGAGCGCTGTTACTCCGGCTGAACATGAACGGACAGGGACATTTATGGTCCTTGTGGATTTGCACCAATGTGAACAATAATGACAACACTGGCCTGCTTGAAATTTATTTAAAATATATATATATATTTTGAAAATGTCTTCCCACAGCTGTTCTTTTCTAATGAGACATTTTAGTAAACAAGTGTTACACAAGTCGATGGTGAATCCATCTTTTTTTAACAGTTAAACCAAATTACAACTAATCCCTCTATAATCCCTTCTTTCTCTCGGGTTGCCCGTCAGTTTACAGCTCATTGCATCAACAACATTATCCCACACATCTATATGGTGAATGGTGGTTATGCATGCACGGCGTTAGCTAAGGCTATAGAATAGAATGAAAACGTTCACAGAACAATTTATTTGATTTGTAGATGAAATGTTCTCATAAAAAACTGTTTGGAGGCAAAGTGCAGGAAATGGTTATATGTGTCATAAGAGCGATTATTGAATCAACTGCTTGCATTTCCTTCAGCTTCCTCCTGTTCCATCAAGCGACTATGCCAATAATAAGTTTTTATAATAATTACCATAAAATGAAAGATAACTGTCAAGTTCATTGATCTAATCAATTCAAGGAAAAGCAGATGTTCACAGGCCTAAAAATGATATCATCAAACTAGTTGTCTTTCAATCTTTCCAGTTTGTTCCACCACAATTACCTTCAAACGCTCATTTCTGTACCACTCAAAATAACCTAATTTCTCCACCAGTGCTGGAAACAGCTAATTCCAAAAAGTACTGTATGTGGGATATATTTGGTGTCTTGCTTATGCTTATTTATCCAATATAATCAAAACACTAGAAGACACGGGAAATGACTTTGAGACTCAGTTGTGTGTGTGTGTGTGTGTGTGTGTGTGTGTGTGTGTGTCGTTGTGAAGTGTCTGTGCATAGATCCGAAGCTTCCAGGTGGTGTCTCTCGTCGCTGCGATTGTAAGTGTTTGTAACAGCCGTCCTTCTCCTGCTATGTTTTCACAGCATATTGGTGTGAATATGTGTATGTGTGCCTTGGTCTATGTGTGTGCATAATAATTGGTGACATTCGGTTATGGCAGCGATTCACATTTGAGAGTTGCATCACATCCACTCACCGCAGCAGCAAGTCTCCCAATTCATTAAAAAAAAGGTTTGCTAGAAAGCGTAAAAGCGAGAAAAAAAGAGCTTTAACATATTATTTCTAATCATTATTGTTTCCATATTTGTTTTGAATGATGATTGATTGTTGACAGTGGATTCTGATGCAGATATTTTAGGATCAAGTTGCTGATCGCTGTTATTTAGATATAAGGTACTGGTTGGCAACGACAATGAATAGGTAACCAATTAAATGAAGAAATCCAAGTAAACAGCTGTTTGTCACAATGGTCACGAGGGGTCAATCTGAAAAACTTTAATAGAATTTCTCATTTTATGACAGTTGGATTTTCTTTGGCATTAGAGTTTTCCCATTACGTATTTTACTGTGAAACGGCATCCCGGCCATCCCAACAGATCTAAAAGCTATAACCAGGCAGCACTTAGTGCCTGGCTGTGGCCTGCAACCCACAGATTGTACTATTCCTCCCTTGGCCACAGGAATGGGGTATTATGCAACGAGCGGCCTACCTCGGGTCATTAAGATGCCCTCACTCAGCAAAACTGGCACATCTGCGCATGCTGATCAACCCTGTGGTAGGTGGAGGGATGGTAACTGCACGCTAATTAAAAAGCCATTCATTGGAGTGAAAGGCCAATTAAAGGCCTAATATTTGATAAGGCTCTCAGTTCACTGAGCTGCGAGCCCACCTGGGAAGTATTTATTAAATGTTAATGGAGAAT